TCTGTGTGCCAAGCATTTACCAGGGCCCGGGGCCGAGTGGGAGGATCCCGGAGAAGGGTCTGGTGACATTCTAGGTCAATGATGCTGGTCAGGGCTATCCAGGACCTTCCAGCGTGTGCTGCCATCCTCAGATTTGTCTTCTTCATCCCCTATAGGCGTTAACTAGCGATTGAGTGCTGTTTTGATGCGAGGACAGTCTAGCCAGTGTTTCACCAGTAATTATATGGAATAACAAAGCCAGTCTTGGAGGATCATTGATAAGAAAACATTTATCACTCAAAAAGGAAGTCCTTATGGTGTTTCACAGCTGTTTCAAGACCTTGGGAGAAATAAGCTTTCCTTGTAATTTTGTAGCTGCCCCTCACCCAGCCTGAACCCCACCCATCCTTGAGGGAATGCTTTCTGTCTTTCTCCATCTGAGCTGATTTTCACTTTCAGCCTGCAACAGGCATTTCCTCCTTCAGAGTTTTCTCACATTTCTGTCTGGAGCCTCACAGTCTCTCAGTAGGTGGTCTCAACCCCTCCAGAGCTCCTGCCAGACTCTGCCCAGACACTTCCTGCAGTTATGAGCCCAGGCTATCCCGAGCACCAGAATCGTGAAGAGGCAGGAAGTCAGGGTCCTGACAGGGCTGGAAACAGGAACTTCACCCTTCCCAACACTCCCCCAAGTGTGCCCCTCTCTAGGTCCTCACCCTGCTCAGGTGTGCCCACCGGGGGCTGGCTTGCTCCTCCCCTATGGCCTCTCCAGGATCTACTACATCAGGAGATCAGGGCCCTTCCCTGGTAACCCCTCATCTGAGTCCCCCAAACACTAGAAAAGGGTTCACTATCTTGTCAACCCCAAAGCCAGCATTCTACAGGACTCTGATCTGATTCCCGCTTTTCCTGTCAAGTCTGTGGGCCTCTGGAAAAGGAAGGATGAGAAAAACTCAAGCTCACGTGCCCTTCAGGACAGGGCAAGGGCCTGGATATGGAGCCCTAAAGGAAGAGATGGACACGGGGACACCATGATCATTGTTTCCCAAACCTGTTGCCCCACCCCCAACCCACCTCTGCACATTAGGGAAGCACTTGGTGAGCTGGCCCTGGCCCTACACAGAAAAACAAACAAACTTGTTCACCTTTCAACTCTGGTCTCCCAAATTGTTCCCTATGGTTGTGAGTGAGTAAATGGAGGGAGAAGAAATACATATATGTATGTAATTTTGTTTAACAAAATTTAAGCAATACTTTATGCTGGATTTTGCTACTAGTGTATTTACTTGTATGTAGTTTTGGGAAGCCTGTCACTTGACACGTATCCATCATCTACTATGTAATTTATCCTTACTGTGTGCAAAGAGGGTCTGCAGTACATGTGAGAGACACACGTTCTTGCCTCCAAGGACTCACTTTCTATAGTTGGAACATAAATACACAGTTAAGGAAATGTATTCTCAGCTGCTCTGTGCTCCTCCCAATCTGTTCTCCACAGAGAAGCCAGAGTAAATTCTAAAAGTGCAATAGTGTCCCTTTTCTGCTTCTAACCCTCCAGTGGCTCCCAGTCTCTGAAATAGACAAAATCCTTTAAGATGAGCCCAAGGTATTACATGGTCTGTCTTATTTGGCCGAGGGGAATCTGCTTCTAATGCCTACAATACCACAACACACATCAAAAAGCCAACAGAGGTACACACGAGTTTATTCATTTATTCTATCAAAGGATAATTATTTTTTAAAAAAGGTAAAATCGTGACTCTCATAGAGATGTAAGATGAACACATGTTAAAGACTTTTTGTTGAAGGAAAAAACACATAGCATGAAACCCACCCTCTTAACCAATTTTTAGGTGTACAGTATTGTTAACTATAGGCACTATGTTGTACAGTGGACCTCTGAAATTTTTTCCTTGAATGACTGAAATTGATACCAATTGAACTGCAACTCCCTATTTTATTTAACTCAATGGGAGAACCAAGCAGAAATGGATGAAGTCCCAGAGGGAGAGAAAGGTCAGGGATACCCTGTGACTTTGGGCCACTTTCTGACATTTGGGTGATCTTTTCATTATCGGAACCCACCCCTGTGCTCACTGGTGTCACTATCCACCTGTCCCTGCTGCCATGGTCCAGTGGACACCATGACCTCACCTCCCTGGCTGCTGCCTCATGCCTGGAGTAGCACTGTGTTCATACTGAGACTGACCACCGTGGAGTGGACAGGAAAGGTGGGATCATCTCTCAGCCTTCGGAAGGACTGAGACATGAAGCTGAGTGAGGTGAGAAGGGAAGTGGACTCACCTGAGAGGAGCGGGGGACAAAGAAGCAGGTGGCAAAGAAGATTGGGCTCAGTGTGGGAGGCCTAGGTGCTAAGTGGCTTCTGTCCCTAGACTTCCCCTTTGTCCTTCTCTGAGGATCCCATGGAGGTTGGAGTGGAGTTCTCGGGACCCTCAGAGGTGTCAAGAAAGTCCTTCCCATCCTTCTAGGCTCATCCCAGCTCTGATGGAACACCCCTTTGGATACTCCAGTTCCTTCCCAGACTGCAGGCTCCCTGAGGAAGCTCCTGAGACGTCTTCCTGGAAACATGATGTTGATGAAGGGACCTTGGCAGGAGGGAGCCAGGGTCCCCTGCATGGGACAGTAAGGAGCAACATTAGCTGCAGAGCTCATGGGGTGGCTCAGTTACCAGCCCCTTTTCCAAAAGAGGAAGAGGAGGAGGAGGAAGAGGAGGAGGAGATGATATGTTGGAGGAATTCAGACTTAGACTTCTTTGGACCCTCGAGCTGAAGGATGAAGAACTGACCGAGGCACAGGGGCTGGCCAGGGGCTGCAGCCAGGTCTGGAAGCAGACTCCCTGTATGCTGACACCAGCATCTTCAGCTCTGATCTTGCTCTCTGGAGGTATGAACTTACCTCCCAAACAATCTTGCTCACGTTTCACCTCCCATTGCATCTGTCCCACCATCCAGGCACATCCTCAGTCCCTCCACAGACTCCCACAGTCCTGTCTTCCTCATTGGATCAGTCTGGACCACGCCAGGCTGTGAATCTCTCTCTAGATCCCCTCCCTCTCCTGCATGTTACCAGGACACACATAAAACTCACCAGTGACTCAGCCCCAAAGCCCAAGAGCACTGAGTGTTTAGGGAGGAAGTGGCTCCACTGGGTGGGGAGCATCTTATGGGCATAGGTCATCTCCCTTCTTGTCTCCAGCCTCCCCAACACAAAGATGCTCACTGTTTGGAGAATGGATGAATGAATGAATGAATAAATGGCTGTTGCCCTGACCTCATCTAGGATCCCTTTTTTCCTTCTGACCCAGGTGTTCAAACAGACCCTACAGAATCCTACATCTGGCAGGACTGACCACCTGGGCTCTAGATGAGGCTGTGATGTCTGGGGTCAGGGAGGAGCTGACAAGCTCCCTGGTGTAGACAACAGGGCTTAGAAGCACATGAGATGGGAGGACCTTAGAGTCTCTCTGTGTCCCATACCTCAGATGTCCTCAGAGGTCCTAGTTCAGTCTCCTGTGCTGGAGAGAAGCCCTGAGATGGGGGTAGGACATGGTGTCTGTTACTTGTCTGCTCCCCTCTGGGCTGGTCAGGGCGTCTGGGCTGTCAGGTGTCTTCTCCCTCTGTGCAGAGGACGTACTCAAGCCTGCAATTTCTCTTCTGTGAAAGGTCGAAGCCGCAGGCTCCACCCCAGCTTGCTGATAACCACACAGCTGCCCTGGCCTCCAAGTGGGGAGAGGCTGATAAGCTGGTGCTGAGATAATGTGGATGATCCTCTGCAGCCCAGAGATGCTGCTGCTGCTGCAGCCACAGCTGTGAGGGTAACAGGTCTGAGGCAGAGATTTCCCGGTTGGGCTGCAGTCAGAGACTCTGTCCTGCAGTGGTCCCTGGAGGATGGTGCAGGACAGTCTGTTACCTTCAGTCAGTGACCATGAAGGAAGGCCTGCCTGTGCATCTTATCCCATTCTCCAATCCACCCACGGATGTTCTGGAACCGACTTTAGCCCACTCAACACCCGCCTTCCAATCCTTGAGTTGGCCAACAGACACCTAATCCCCTTCTCGCCACAGATACTACCAAAACCTGGAAGAGAGAATCTGGGGCCAACGCAACCTCCTCGGGGAACAAGGGGCCCACTGTTGCTCTCTGAGCTTCAGGTTTTCCAAGATGTTGGAAAGTGGGAAGACTTTAGGATAAAGAAATATTATGTGAAATACGACTTCCAATATATGACACTGTCTCTGAAGGTGACAAGTAGCCAGGGGTCCCAGGAGAGAACCCTAGAGACAGGAACACACCTGCTCCTTATCCAGTGGGGGTGGGAGGTGATCAGGACCCTGGGGCTGAGAGAGGGGGCACCGATGTGGAGGTTACCCCCAGGATCACACTCTGGGATCTGAGTGTTTCTCTCCTCTCCAGCTTGTACCAGATACCCCACCACCTTCATCTGAAGTGCAACCATCTTGGAGCCTAAATAGCACTATGTCAGCTGCTTGTGTAAGAGGATGCTTCTCCCTCCTACTGGGTCCCAAGCCCCCCGCCCCATTCCTAAGTACCTACCCATATGGTAGGGTCAAGGTCATGAGCCCAGCCCTGCTTGCCTGGTGAGCTTCCTAGGGGGTGGTAGGTCTATGGATAGACTCATTGGAGGAGTTCAGCCCAAAGACAAAAAATTATGTGATTTTTCAGGCCTGATCACAGGCAAATAGAAAGGCTTTTCCTGGCTGTCCTCATGGGGAAGCCGTCCTCCACGCACTCTTGACTCTCCAGGAGCTGGACTGCTGGGACCTGCTTCTCCAGTGCATATGATTTTGCACAAGCCCAGAAGGCAGGACTTAGGGGCTCTTGTCCTTCCTTGTTGTCTTACTTGGGCAAACTCCTTGCCTGCCTGAGCTTCACGGTCCATCTGTCACATGCAGAAATGGGCCGTAGGTGATCTTAAATGGGGAGTCACAGTTGACTTTGTGGTCTGAAGTTTCCTTTTCTGAGCTTGTGGCCCTTGGTTCTTGCCACAGTCTTCCTGTCTAAGCTTCCTCTGCCCTCCTGTATCTGAAACTTTCTCTTCTCTCTCTGAGAGGGACCCCAGAAGGCAGGCTGTCCCAGGGCATGAGGACAGGATGTCGCTGCAGCTGCTGCTGTTGCTGCCTGTGCTGTGGGGAGGTGAGTGGTCAAGGGGAGGAGGGAACCCCACTCTGGGGAGGCCCTGGAGCTTCAGGCTGAGTTTCTCTTTCTCCCAGTGCCCACAGTTCAGGGTCAGAGCTACCCGCTGGAGCCACCTATGTCCCTGACAGTGCAGGAGGGCCTGTGTGTCGTCGTGCCCTGCAAATTTTCCTATCCGTGGACGACCCTTGGAACGCTCTACATGTTTTGGATCCGGAAAGGGGTGGATAGAAACCGTGATTCTTTGGTGGCTACAAACAAACCAAACCGGAAGCTGCACGAGAGCACCCAGGGCCGGTTCTTCCTCCTCGGAGACACCCAGGCCCGGAACTGCTCCATGAGCATCAGAGACGTCAACCTGGGGGACAGCGGGACTTACTTCTTTCGTACGGAGGACTCCATTAGGGAATACCCATATCTAGATAAGACGTTCTCTCTGAATGTGACAGGTATGGTGGTGGCCCAGGGAAAAGCCCCAGAGGGTGGGGCACTGGAAATAGAATAATGAAGGTTCTGTTCTTCCTGAGGTTAGGATGGGGTGGAGATAGTCATGAAAAGACCCTGGGCAGGCTGAAAACACGCTGAGGGGACCCAACCTCCTCTCTGTCCTCTCCAGCCCTGATCCACAGGCCACACTTCCATATCTCGGGGTCCCTGGAGTCCGGCCGACCCAGAAATCTTACCTGCTCTGTGCCCTGGGCCTGTGAGCAGGGCACTCCCCCCATCTTCTCTTGGACATCAGCTGCCCTCATCTCTCTCGGACCCAGGACCCTCCTTTCATCAGTTCTTACCCTTACCCCACGGCCCCAGGACAATGGCACCAACCTCACCTGTCAGGTGAAGTTCCCTGCTGCTGGTGTGACTGTGGAAATGACCATCCAGCTCAACGTCACCTGTGAGTGCTGGGCCAGGACACCCGGATCCCTGAGGGGGTAGAGCCAGGGCAGAGCTGGGGCAGGGCTTGATGCTGGGGTCCTGCTAGTCCTACAGGAAAGGATCCTCCTTTATCTGTTTCCATGGGTCCTGGGGGGAAAGGCCCAATACCCACCCAGCTGTCACCAGGGATGTTGAGGCTGCTACATCCTTCTGTCCCAGATGCTCCACAGAACATGGCCATCAGCATCTCCCAAGGAAACAGCACAGGTAGGAAAGAACCTCTTCTCTCCAGAGCTGAGATGGATGTAGGGTCTAGCTGGATCTAGTACTCCAATTGACCGGGGACCAAGTGAGAGAAAAGTGAGAAGCCAGCTACTGATGTCAGAGGTGGGGTGAGCACAAGGGGAAAGCCCCCAGATACCCCAGCTCCCTGAAGTTAACCTTTTGCTCACCCCAGAAAGATACTTTTCTCTGGCCAAATCCAACAGAAGCTATCGCATCCCTCTAGGTTCACCCTCCTTTCTGATGTTTCACCCGCTCCTTCTTCTGCAGACCCCTCATGACCCATCAACTGTTCACTATTTCCCTGTCCTGAGCCCTCTGTCCTCCATCTGCCTGACACTCTGAGCAGCTCCAGGGAAGTCGTCTGGACGTCTTCTGAAGGCCTGATGCCCGGTCCCCTCTTGTCCCCTCCTCAAAATTAGTGTGGAGTGAGATTTCCCCTTCGCGCACTCCATCTCTCTCTGTCTTTGTCTCTTTCTCTGCATTTCTCTTCCCAAAGCCTTCAAGATCCTGCATAACATGTCAACTCTTCCCGTCCTGGAGGGCCAGGCTGTGCGGCTGCTCTGTGTTGCTGACAGCAACCCCCCTGCAGAGCTGAGCTGGTTCCGGGGATCCCCAGCCCTCAACGCCACCCCCATCTCCACCAGCGCCGTCCTGGAGCTGCCTCACACGGGGAGTGCAGGAGACTTCACCTGCCTCGCTCGGCACGCGCTGGGCTCCCAAAATGTCTCTGTGAGCCTCTCCACAGTCTGTGAGTGTGGGGACCCCTGGGGCAGGAAAGCTGGGTCCTGGGGAGGGGAGCGGCACTGCTGACCTTCTCCTCCCTCCCCACAGACCCCCCACAGCTGCTGGGACCCTCCTGCTCCTGGGAGGACGAGGGTCTGCACTGTGGCTGCTCCTCCCGAGCCCAGCCGGCCCCCTCCCTGCGCTGGCGGCTGGGGGAGCGTCTGCTGGAGGGGAACAGCAGCAACGCCTCCTTCACCATCACCTCCAGCTCCTCCGGGCCCTGGGCCAAGAGCTCCCTGAGCCTCAGCTGGGGGCTCAGCTCCGGCCTCAGAGTCAGCTGTGAGGCCACAAATGTCCACGGGGCCCAGAGTGCCAGTGTCCTGCTGCTGCCAGGTCAGAGGTCGCCGAGGGGTGACGCCTTGGGAGTGAGGACCCCGGAACCTTGTTTTAGTTTCCTAGGGCTGCGCTAACAAAGTACCTCAGACAGGAGGTTAAAAAATGGAGATTTATCATGTCACAGTTCTGGAGGCCAGAAGCCTGTGATCAAGGTGTCAGCAGGGCTGGTTCCCTCTGAGGCTGTGAGACTCTGTTCCAGACCTCTCCCTCAGCTTCTGCTGGTTTGCTGGCAATCGTTGGAGTTCCTTGCCATGTAGAAACATCACCCCAATCTCCATTTTTCAAGGTGTTCTCCCTGTCTGTTTGTAAATTTCCTGTTTTTAATGAGGACACAAGTTATATTGGATCAGGTCAAGCTAATGACCTCATTTTACCATTACCGCTGTAAAGATCCTGTCTCCAAATAAGGTCATATTCTGAGGTCTGGGGCAGGGGATACAGTGAGGGGCGTGGATTTCAAATATGAATTTTGAGGGGGAAAGAGTTTAACCCATAACAGCTCCAGAGAGATGGAGCTTGGAGGAGAGGAGCCCCAAGACCTGGACCGGAGTGGCTGAGGGTGTAAGTTCCTTAGTCCTGTGGCCAGGAGAAGGGGCTGGTCCAGGGTCTACAGGACAATGGAATGCAGAGCGACTGAGTCCTGTTTGAGGACTGGGTACACTCAGGGAACAGACAGAGGGAGAAGTGTACTGGGGTTCGAGTAAACACTAAAGTCAAATTATCTACAGGTAAACCAGAACCCAGGGCCAGGGTGTTCCTGGGAGCAGTTGGGGGAGCTGGCATCATGGCCCTGCTTTCTCTCTGCCTTTTTCTCATCTTCAGGTGAGAGTGGGCTCCAGGGACAGAGGGAGAGGCTTGGGGTGAGAACGGAATAAGGTCTCAGAATCTCAAGAAACCTGAGCTGGAGGAACTGGACTGGTTGGAAAGCCAGGAGCCGGGGAAGGGAGGCTGAGCAGTGGTGGCATGAATCAGCCTGTAACCAACAGGGCCAAACATGCAGTCTTTTCCCAGCTCTTGGTCCAGCTCTTGGGTTGGGGGAGCACCTGGAGAGAGGCCCCACCTCCTCCTACCTCATTCAGCACTTCCATCGTCTTTACAGGGAGTAGAGGGTGGCCTGCCTACTCCGGGCCCTAAATAACCAGGCTGAAATGCCCGGGGCTGTTCCCTTAGAGTGAAGACCTGCAGGAAGAAGGCAGGCCAGCCAGTGCAGAGGGCGGACGACATGAATCCAGTCGAGGGCTCAGGCTCCGGGGTGAGTGAAGGAAGATGAGCTCCATTTAACATTATCCCTGGTGGATGCCTCTTGGGAATGGCCCTGGGGCATTTCCATATTTACATCCAACACTCCCAGAGTTCCACATGCTGTGGTCATTTTAAATTATCGACTCACCTGCTCTGATGGTTCTGTTTCTGATGGGGTAAGTATAGAGTTCAATTGGTTTGTCGGGGGTATTTATGACTCATAATCTTATTATCACTTTCCCCTGGAAATGTTAGCCTTTCCTTCTGTTGTTGATTACTGGAGAAGAGTAATGGCCCAAACCTAGTGTGTGTCAGATCCATTGGGTACAGGAAGGATGGTGGACACGGGCTTTGGAGTAGAGACCCCCGAGCACCCCAAAGTCACAATTCATCACCCCATTTTGCACTTTTCAAATCTACCGGCAAGTTTATTTAATTATCAATACTGAATCTATGGAAGCACCCTTTACATAGAATAAAATGCACCCATTTTAAGTGTAAGTTACATGAATTTTGACAAATGTGTACACCCTGTAACCATGTCCCCAATCAAGATGAGGGACATTTCCATCACTCCCAAAATTCCCCTGTTCCCCTTCCCAGTCAACCCCCTCTTCCCAGCAATCACTGATTTCTGTCGCTAAAGATTAGTTTTATCCATTCTGGAAATTCATAGAAATGGAACCTGCAACATGTACTCTATATAGCTGGTTCTATCACTACCTCAAAGATATAAAAGTCCTAAACAGGTATGCCCCCAATAACAGAGCATCATCCATCACAAGAAATGAACCAAAACTGACAGGACTGCAAAGAGAAATAGACACACCTACAATCATAGTTGATTATTTCAAAACTCCTTTCTCCATAACTAGTAGAACGAGGAGACAGACAATCATTTTTTTAAATTCAGTTTACTTAGTTCCCTGTCCTGTTTCTCCTTGGTCCATCTTGGGAATGGAGTCCTCAGGGTGTGCTAAGCCCCCATCAGGAATCCTGGGGATGGAATCATGGATGCCAGGAATCAGGATGTATCTTTTCCATTACTTTGCTTTCAAAGTTTCAGTGAACTTTATTTTAATGACTGTCTCTTGTAGTCAGTCGAGCCCAGTGGTTCAAAGCTCTGGAGCCAGACTGCCTACATCTAAGCCTCCTTTCCCTACTGACGAGCTGTGTGACCCTGGACAAATGATATGCCCTCTCTGATGTCTCTTTATTTTCTGTGACATGGACATCTGAGGCCACCCTGTGTCACTGAGTTGTGAGGAGTACTTAAAACAGTACCTGGGAGACACTGAGCACAGTGCTCATTACCACATATCAGAGCCCTTCCCTTCTCCAGTGAGTGAGTCCCAAGGGTGGTTTGTGGTTGTTGTCTTCTTCCCTGTTGCATCCCCAGGACCTAGAGGAATGCCTGACTCATAACTCACAGCAGGTACTCAATAAATATTTCCGGAATAAATCACTGAATAAAGGTCTTGCTGGAAACCATTTTCTATTAAAATCTCTGTCTCTGTCTTTTGATGGGTGAGTTTCATCCATATGCAAATACTGTAGCCATGATTACTCACAGACACGATTCTTTCTTTCCCGTGTTTTGGCTGCAGTAGATTAGCACAGCTGGTCCGTCGTTGACTTTCATCTTGCCTTCGCCCACTCTGGGCAGCCTTCTCTCTCTCTTCTATTTGCTCTTCAATAGCAAAGCCCTTTCCTCCTGATCTGAGAACTGTTTGTCTTTGCCTCTCTGAGCTGCTGTTTGAGGGTTTCTGTTTCATGGGTCTGCAGCCTGAAGGTGCTGTGGGCAGGAAGCAGAGAGGGGCGAGGTGTCTGGTGGAATCTTTCCTGCAGGACCTGGTATCTCTTCCGTCTTCTAGGGCCTGTCTGGAAACTGGGTGTGCCCCCTGCCCCTGCTTTATATTTAAAAATATCTCCTGTCTCAAATTGAGAACTTGAAATGTATTTGGTGTCTATTTGTTTAGTAACTGCTTCTCCTAGGAAACCATCACCTGTATGGTGTCAGGGGCTGGGTCTGCTTTCTTCATTACTGTACACACAGCACCTGGCACACGGCCCCAACAGAGGATGGCGCTATAGCGAGAAAGAGCTGGGTGTGAGTACTGGCTCAGGGGTGCATGTATAGAGACGTGTGTCTTCAGGGCAATGCATGTAATCTCTCTTAGCGTTAGTTTTACTGTTTGTAAGCTAAACATTACAACAGTCTCTACTACCCGCATCTTTTTTTAGAATACAATGCATTTAATATAAACACCCACTAAGGATTGGAAAATCTTAACAATCTTAATTATAAACTATTTTTGAATAAATGAACGGGTAAATAATCAGAGTTCCATCTGCCACAATCACATTCTGGTCTTGGCTGCCCTCTCCCAGACCCTGTTGCCCGGCTCTGAATCCATTCTCTTCCTTCCATTCAGGCGCATCAGCACCAGGTCAGGACAGACTCCCCCTCAGATGACCCAGCCGCTGCTGGGGCGAACCCCATCTCAAGAGAGGAACAGGAGCTCAACTATGCTTTCCTCAGATTTCACAAGCCTCAGGGACAAAAAGGCACCAACACCGAGTACGCAGAGATCAAGACACACAAGTGAGGATTTATTTTCTCATAATTCTGGAGGCTGAAAGTCAGATCCACAAGTCAGCAGGGCTGGTTCCTTCTGAGGCCTCTCTCCTGGGCTTGCAGACAGCTGTGTCCTCCGTGTGGCTTCATATGGTCTTTCTTCTGTTTGTGTCTGTGTCCTAACTTCCTCTTCTGATAAAGGTACAGGGTGTATTGGATTAGGGCACACCCTAATGACCTCATTTTGACTGAATTACTTCTTTAAAGACCCTGTCTCCAAATAAAGTCTCATCCTAAGGTTCTGGGGCTTAGGATTTCAACTTATTAATTTTATGATTTTTCTGCCCATAACACTCAGCCTTTGACTATTTTAAAATTAATGCCATTCTTGGCATTGGTATGAATCCCTGTTGTATGTGGAAAACCACAGGGATTGTGTTAGAAATAACTGAGTTTAAATCCACCTATGCCACTTACTGAGTGAGTCCCTTTAATCTCTCTGTGTTCACTTTGCTGTCCTGCAAAGCAGAGGAATCATCCCTTTAATCATATTATTGTAAAAGAGGAAAACAGACATAAAAAACAGCTAACAGAATCCTGACGGGAAGCCTTTTGTGAACTCTGAACCCAGGCTTGCGTCAGGACTTGTGGCTGTGTTAACAGAAAGTTTCTGCTCACAATTTCTCCTAAGACTTGGAGGGGCCAGTCCCAGAGGCCACAGAACTTTTTCCCTCAGATTGGAATGAGGCAAGAATGGCTACTCTTAGCACTGCTATCAAACTATATACCGTAGATCCCTCTCAGTGCAAGGAATGCAAGAAATAGAAATAAGAGCTCTCCAGGTCATAAAGCAAGAAGAAAAACAGATTATTCACAGACAATATGATTGTGCCCTAGAAAATTTACAGTTATGCGCAAAGAAGCTGCCAAAACCAATAAAAGAGTTTGGCAAAGTGTTAAGACACTCTTTCAAATTACAAACTTCCTTTGCAATGCTATGTATTAGCCAACGACAATGAGAAATTATTATTTTTTTCCTGCAGGGAAAGACTCACCCTGAGCTAACATATGTTGCCAATCTTCCTCTTTTTAAAATTTTTTTCCCTAAAGCCCCAGTGTGTGATTGTATATCCTAGTTGTAAGGCATTCCAGTTCTTCTATGTGAGCTGCTGCCCCCACATGGCAACTGACTGACGGGTGGTGTGGTTCCTCTACCAGGAAGCAAACCCGGGCTGAGGAAGCAGTGAGCACCGAGCTTCAACCAGTAGGCCATCATGACCGGCTCTGAAGATTGTTTTTAAAGACACAATTTACAGTACCTGAAGCTATGAAATAAATTGGATGAAATATATGTAAGTCCTGTACATTGTAAAAAATAAATATTTTTATTTATTTTAAATATTGCTTAGATAAATGAAAGAAGACCTAAATAAATGGAGGTATATGTCATGTTCATGGATTGGGAGACTCAATATTGTAGGATGGCAGTTTTCCCAAAGTGATGGATAAATTCAATGCAACCTCAAATTCTCAGTGAGAGCTTCTGTAGAAATTGACAAGCTAATTCTAAACTATGGAAAGAAAAGCAAACAACTAGAGTTTTCTAAGAAATCTTGAAAACTGGCAATTAATCCTTTGACGGGGACACTTCCAGTTCCTGTCCCATTGTCCCAGGGGTCCCACCTCTTCCTGCACAGCCACCAGTTACAAGGGACACACATCTCCGCCATATCCTGTAGCAGGTTCCTTTCTCCAACAACTCCAGAGGGCTTCCAGTGGGGGAGGATTCCCCACGTGGTGGTCCTCATTCCATGGCACCAAAACCCCCAGCAGAGGGGTCTGCATGGGCAAAGCCCCAGAGGCAGGGCAGAGCTTGTCATGTTCCAGAACCGTGAGGGGAAGTGTAGCCAGGCAAGGGAACAGCTGTCCACAAGTCAGTCATGGAGGCCATGGGGTCACTATGGCAAAGTGGACACTTGCTCTCTCTCCTTTCCTTCTCCCTACAAGCACATCCCACAGGAAATCCCAGCTGTCCTCTTGAGAGCACACCGCGGTCCGGGCCCTCTGCCGTCTTATGTGTGCTGCCCCACTGACTCCTCATGACCTCCCACCTTCAGAGTCCTGGTCACATCCCTTCTGCCAATTCCATCTAGATTTCTATTCTCCTGCTGCCTTGTCCAGCTCCCCACTTTCAGGAAGGACACTCTTGTCCTGGTCTGTCAAATTCACCTAGCTGTCTCATCTCAGAAGAGAGTAGGACTTATCCCTGTATGTTTGGAGAAATGAAGGACAGGGTAAGTGACTGAAAGACCACCTCCCCGTATTTGCAAGAAACATAACTGAAACTGAAGGATGAGAAAGGTGGAAATGACAAGATGTCAACAGACAGACCATGGAAGAACTAAACAGGAGAGAACTGGTGTCACTGTCTTAACATCAGATGAGTGAGTTCTGGAGGCAAAGAGTGTTAGGAATGGGCACTTCATAAAAGCCAAAGGTTTAGTCCCCGCTCCCGAAATATAAAATTCTAAACCTGTATACGTCTACAATAGAGTCTCAAAACACACATAGTCACGGAATTACAGCACCTGTCACAGGGAGCTCCAGGTGCTGAGACACTCATTGTCTCCCCACTGGACAGTGACTTTTGGAGCAGCCTCAGGGCTGCTTTGTGACCTCATGAGCAGAGAGGTGTTGTCTACCATGTGGACGCTGAGGGAGGAAGGACAGTTGACCCCCTCACACCCCAGCCTCCCCCATCTCCCACATCCTTACATCCCAGCCCTGGACCGTCCTCCATAGACACCTACAGCCTGTGACTCAGAGGATCTGACCACAAGGCACCCAATTTCACTTCACAGAAGATGCCCCTGAGAGGAGGGGCATCAAGAGGGAGGCAGGAGATGCGGCTCAGGCCCTGTGTGGGGTGTGGATTTGGGTGAGGGTCTCATCCTCCCTGGTCCAGGGCCCCAGGAGTGGATCTGGTTGGTGGCTGGTTGACTCCAATGTTGTCCCGGCGATGACAAGTGTCTGGGGTGAAGTTCCTCCTCTGAGGAGGGCCACTGTTCTGACTTCACCTCAGTTTCCTGTTGGAACCTCCTCTAAATCTTGAAACTTTTACTTCCTTAGAGAGAACCTTGAGAAACAGATTTTCTTGGCACACCTGGTGCATCCAACCCCAGACATGTTGCTGTTGCTGCTGCTGCTGCTATTGGCCCTGCTCTGGTGGAGGAAGGGGGCCGAGGGCAAGAGGGAGCCCAGGAAGCATTACCCACTGCAGGTGCAGGGGTCAGTGATGGGGCAGGATGGCTTGTGTGTTTTCCTGTCCTGCTCCTTCTCCTACCCCTGGAATGTCTGGGTTATCTTTATACCGGCTCACGGCTACTCGTTCCGGGAAGGGATCAATCCAGACCAGGATGTTCCAGTGGCCACAAACAACCCAGATCATGAATTGCAGAATGAGACCCAGCGCTGATTCCACCTTCTTTGGGACCTCCATCTTTGCAACTGCCCCCTGGACATCAGAGATGTTGGGAGGGGGGACAACGGTTCATACTTTTTTCAAGTAGAGAGAGGAATTATAAAATGGAGTTAGATATCTAACCATCTCATGTACACATGATGGGTAAGTTTTGGCACCAGGAGATGCCACAGGGGGAGGACACGGGGGTCCTTGGGCTGAGCTCGGATCGGACTCTCCATCCTTGGAAAGGGTTGGGGTACTGTGTGTTGGGGCTCAGAGGGAGGAGCTGGACCAAAGCTTGATGCTTCTCTCAGGCCCGAACCTCGAACCCTCCCTCCTGATCCACATGTCTCCCTGTCTCCTCACCAACTTTGACCCGAGTGACCAACATTTCCATCCCAGGGACCCTGAATTGTGGCTGCCCCAGGAACTTCACTTACTCTGTGCCCTGGGCCTGTGAGTGGGAGACACCTCTCATCTTCTCCTGGATGGGAGCCTCTGTCTCCACCTCATTCACTCCTCGCTGTTCACCTTCATCTGAGCCCCAGGACCATGGCACCAGCCTCACCTGTCAGGTGACCTTGCCTGGGGATAGAGTGACCACGACAAGGACCATCTACCTCAACGTGTCCTGTGAGTGCTATACCAGGACACACGAGTCCCTGATGGGGTCTCGTGGGCAGTAGGGATGGGAGGTCAGGGCCTTGGATGCTGGTGTTGGGTCCCAGCATCCAGGCTGGGAGGGGGTCAGGAGGACACTCACCTCCACACTTCCCCCACCTATGCAGCTCCTGGGGAAAATGATCAATGTCCAGCCAGCCTCCACCACTGATGCAAGAAAACCATGTCTTTCTGTCCCAGACTCTCCACAGGCTTGATCTTCACCATCTTCCCAGGAAACAGCACAGGTGAGACATGGCTGGGCTGCAGGGAGCTTGGCCTCTTCCAGCTCAGGGCAGGACCAGGTCCCTGCCTCACCCTGGACTCACCCCAGTGACCAGAGACCCTCTCGTGTGTGAACCCAGTGGTCCCTCCCATCCTCAGCCCCCATGGCCTCTGTGAGCAGCTGTCCCCGTTGACTCCTCACTCCCCTCAGACTTCTCCACCCACCTCGGCTCCACAAGGAGAACAGGGCGACATTCACAGTGCAGAGCTCACCTCTCGAGACCCCTTATCACCCGTCTACTGACGATTTCTCCAACCTCATCTTTTAATTTTCTTTAACAACTGTTTATTTAAGGATTTTCTAGCACATAATATATTCACATGGTCAAAAATTCAAAATGCACAGTAGAATCTGTCCTCAGATGCCCAGTCCCCTCCTGGGAAGTGACCAGTGTCCATAGACTTCTCTGAGCCATGGCTTGTTCAACTAAAGGATCTTAGGGACCATTTGATATCATTAGCACACACTGTCCTCATTCTTCTCCATGACTGTGAAGTATTCCATGGCCTGGATGGACTCTGGTTCTGTCTGCTCTTCTGTTAATGGAATACCGTGGCATTCATTTTATTCATTTATAACCTAAACGCTGCAATGAATAATTGCGTATCTACTTTCTCATGTGTGTGTGTATGCCTTTGGATAAATTCCTAAAAATGAAAGAGCTGGCTCATGTATTCTTTCTACATTTTTTTTTTGATTGAGGTGTAACTGACATATAACATGTAACAGTTACAGGCTTACAATATAACAATTCAATATTTGTATACATTGTGAAATGATCACCACCATTAGTCTAGTTAACATCCGTCACCATATATAGCTACGGAAATTTGTTTTCCTTGTGATGGGAACTTATAGCATCTCTCTCATAGCAACTTGCAAATATGCAATACTGTATTGTTAACTAGGGTCACCATGCTGTACATTATATCCCCATAACATATTTATTTTATACCTGGAAGCTTGTACCCCCTACCCCTTGCCTCTGGCAACCACCAACCTGTTCCCTGTATCCAGGAGCTTGTTTTTTTTTTCTTTTTAGATTCCACATATAAGCGAGATCATACAGTATTTATCCTTCTCTGACTGACTTATTTCATTTAGCATAATACCTCAGGTTTCATCCAGGTTGTCACACACGAAAAGACTTCATTCTGTTTATGAGTCAGTAGCATCCCGTTGTATATATATACTGCATCTCCTTTATCCATTCGTCTGTCACTGGGCACTTAGGTTGCTTCCAAGTGTTGGCTATTGTGGATTATGCTGCACTGAACATGGGGTGGAGTATATATAACTTTTCAAAGAAGTGTTTTCATTTTCTTCAGATATATACCAGGAAGTGGAATCACCTGATCATATGGCATTTCGATTTTAAATTTTTTGAGGAACCTCCATATGGTTTCTGACAGTGGCTGCACCAATTCACATTCATACCAACAGTGCGCAAGGGTTCGTTTTCTCTACCTACATCCTCTATTTTTGAAAAATGTGCCCACATTGTTTTCCATCGAGGGTGGAGAAGCTGACATCCCCTCCAGCAATGGGTGAAGTGTAGGTGTTCTCCCTGCCTCACCAAACCAGGGGGAGGGGTGAAACTTTTAGGTCTTTGACCATATTGGCATCTCCGTGGAGGTTTGATTGTCTTTTCTCTTGTTATGCATGATGTTGCACATGACTTTATACAATAAAGAGTCATCTGTGTTTCTTTTGTTCTGTGACTGTCTCTTTACGTTCTCTGCTCATCTATGGAGTGGCTTGATTTTTCTTATTCACTCTTGGAAACTTTTTTCAAGTGAGAGGAATTAGCCGTTGTTCTGTCGTAAGAGTTGTGACTTTCCTCGGTATGCCGTCACCTTTTCCTTGGTGGCCAGTAATTGTTACAATGCTTAGGGATCTATTTACGGGTGTGGTCACATTTATCAACCTCTTCTCTATGGTCTGCTTCTCCCACTTTGTGTATAAAAACAACTCTTGGGGCAGGCCCGGTGGCGCACAGCGGTTAAGTTCGCACGTTCCACTTCTCAGCGGCCTGGGGTTCACCGGTCTGGATCCCGGGTGCCGACGTTGCACTGCTTGGCAAAAGCCATGCTGTGGTAGGCGTCCCATGTATAAAGTAGAGGAAGATGAGCACGGATGTTAACTCAGGGCCAGTCTTTCTCAGCAAAAAGAGGGGGATTGGCAGTAGTTAGCTCAGGGCTAATCTTCCTCAGAAAACAAACAAACAGCTCCCCGCTTTTCCTCCTGTGGCCTCATCTCAGAAGGCCCTCCCCCACCCCAAATCTTCACTCCCTTTCCTTCGAACCTTGCAGGTCTATTTGTTTTTCCGTGGACATGCACAGGCCTTGGTCATCTTTGCACTCTCTCTGCTTCCTGACTACAATGCCCTTCCACCCTCTCAGCATCATCTTGCTGCCCCTGCTTACCCCTCACACTTGACTTCACAAAGCTGCCTCCTCCAGGGAGCCCTCCTCGCCCTGCCAGTCTCATTTACATTGCTATCCTCAAACCTCCTGCAGCCCAGTGTCACCTCCATCACATGTGTCATGTGGTGTGAGCACCTGTTCCCGGGTCCCCATTCCCCACCAGACTGAGAGTTTCTAAGAGTAAGCCCCGTCAGAGACACCTCATTAAATCAGTAAACTTATGTCAAGCGAAGGCAGAAATGAAGCACAAGAATTTTCAGGGTCAATCTGTGTTCTAAGCGAAGGAAACACGGGATCCTTTGGGGCTGACAACTTGTAAGGACATCTTATAAAGCCCAAGACCCCCCTGCTGTGCTTCCTGGGTCCTGAATCCAGACAGACAGTCCATCAGGACAGAGATGAAGCTACGTCATGGAATGCAGAGAAAGATGGGGCCTGAGCAGTGAGTTCCTGCCCACTCCCTCTCTCTGGGTCCGTCTCCCAGAGTCTGGGTCTCTGTCAGTCTCCATCTGTGTATCTGAGTCTGACCCTCTCAGCCAATATCCATCTGTATCCTTCCTCTTTCTCTTGACCTCTTTGTCTCTCTGACCCTCTGTCTCTTTTTCTCAAGCACCTATGGCCCTGGAGAATGGCTCATCTCTTTCAGTCCTGGACCACCAGTCCCTGTGCCTGGTCTCTGTTGTTGACAGCAACCCACTCGCTAGGCTGAGCAGGGCCCGGGGGAGCCTGACCCTGAGCCCTTCACAGGCCTCGAACCCTGGAGTGCTGGAGCTGCCTCGAGTACATGTCAGAGATGAAGGGGAATTCTCCTCTGAGGTCAGAACCCTCTGGGCTCCCAGCACTTCTTTCTGATCCTCTCCCTGCAGAGCGAGTGTCCAGGTGCTGCACACTGGGCCCCAACCACCCAACGCCCTTCAGCTCACTGGTCCCTGAGCAGGTGTCCCCAGAGCCCTCTGTCTGAGCACTGGAAGATCAGAGTGTGGGGAGTAGTGAGGCCCAGACACAGGTGGTCATGCCTCCAGTGATGGAGGAGGGCTTAGAGAACCAATGTCTAGAGTCCTGCTGGGACTGGAAAGACACAAGATTGTGGTGGAGCAGATGGATCCTTCCTTGTCCCACTTACCTGCGGGGAGTTCAGGACCTGTGGCAGACATGGTCCTGGTTCCCATCAGGGAAGTGGCTTTGACGACTCTGCCCCTCCACCTCTGCCTCATCTTCCTCATGTGAGCATTGTCCCAGGGTGAAGGGGAGGTGTGGGGAGGGTAGTGGGCATGTGGCTTGGCCCCAGAACCTGTCTTAGAGGGGCCCAAAAGGATCAGGGGTCCAGGCATGGAGGAGACTGACAGGGGCGGGGTAGGAATGGAGAATACCCAGTGGGAGCTCCAGTGACTTACCCACCAGGTGTCCAGGATGGTAAGCACTTGCTGTCCTCCACACCTGCCCTCTCCCACCTCAGTCACACTCAGCATCTAAAAGGGAAGAAGGGGTGAGTCTGCTGCCCTCTGCTCCATGATCCAACAGGAGTGAAAGACCTGGTCTCTCCTTTCAGAAAGAGGTCCTGCAGGAGGAAGGCAGCCAGGCCAACGAGGGGGGGGGGGAGTGGAAGATGCAAACATCATCCCGGCTTAATCCCTCAGGTGAGTGACCTGGATGTCTCACTACCCAACATCCCATCACACACCTCCATCAGGATTGGTCCACTCAGCGTGCTCAAAGTGGAGCTGCCACCTTTCCCCCCAAATGGACTTCTCTGCTGCGTTCCCCACCACAGTGATGACACTGTGGCCCCATCTCTAAGACCAGAAACAGAGTGTGGCTGTCCACTTTACCTCCCTCCCTTCACCCCTATGCATCCATCCATAAGTGTTGACCATCCTTCCTCCTACACAACTTATCTTGATGCCTGTCTCCTCCCCATCCTGACTTGGTTCTTCCTGGGGCCTCATTTTTTCTCTGGGTCTCTGAACCCATCTCACCTCCTGCTTCCATCTCTTTCCTCAATACAGGCCTCTAGATTGTGTTTCCAGAGACCATTACCGTCTACTCAATGCACAGTGTGAACAGCTACATGTCCTCTCCATGGCCAGAGACCGAGCTTCAAACACCACAGTCTGGACTTGAAGGCCAGGTGTGGTCTGTCCCCTGCTTGACTCTCCCCCAGATTCCTCCCTCTACCTGCATCTGGCAATGTCTCCACTCCCAGCTGGGCCAAGGCCTCTTTGACTCTGAGACTTTGTATGTGCAGTTCCTTCTCCTGAAATGCCCCTCCCTCTCCATTCCTGCCTCTCAGAGTCCTGCTCATCCCTCAGGTTCAGTCTTAAATGTCACCCAGTGTGTGTGTGTGTGTGTATTTTTGTATGGTTCTCGGCAGAGTGATATTCAGTCATTTATCATAGACTATTAAGCAAGTATTACAGAAGACCTACTATGTGCCTACATTGTTGTGGGTGCTGGGAGGTGCATCGGTGAACACACATCCAAGATCTCTTGTCAAAGAAGTGGGAATTTTGAAGACAAGAAAGATAAAAATCAAATAAATAAATAAGAGCTAACGTTAGAGCATGTTTGATGGTAAAGTCTGTTTGGAGAAAAACCATGCAGAGAAAGGAGCACGTGACATCTTGGGGGCAATTTTCTACATCTGAGAATGTTAGGTGTGATGTTGGAGCAAAGACTTAAGATGGCAAAAAGGTAGGTTCTGCATTTGCCTGAGACAAAATTATCCAGGAAAATGAAGAGAGAGGACACCAAGTGGAATAGTTGGAGTTAGAAGCATGCCTAGTGTGTTGGGAAAACAGGAGGAAGAAGTTTGACAGCAGGGAGAGGCTAAGGGAGGGGGAAGCTGGGAGGATAGTGCAGACCACTTGCTGGTGCAGAGCAGGAAACGCAAGAATCTGGAAGCCTTGGAGGATATGATTTTACTTTCATTTTCACAGGATCCCCATGGAGCTCTCTTCGTAAAAGGCCAAAGTGGGTTCACAGCGGCCACCAGATATTGGGAAGGGATTGCTGAATTCTCTAGGCAGGAGGTGATGGTGACTGGAACCATGGAGGTGGGGTGGAGAGTGAGGGTTTATGTTTAGATGTATCATGAAGATGGAACTAACAGAGTTTTCTAACGGATGTGGGAGTAAGAGAGAGGGAGGAGCAAGGATGATGCCCAAATGTTTCCCTTAAAGAATTGGAAGGATGGAGTTGTGTTCCACGGAGGATGTCAGAGAGTAGGGTTTGGAAGGATGATGTTCATTCTGAGAAGCCACTTGACATCCAACTGGTGACATCAGTGAGAGAGCTGGATACGAAAGTCTAGAGGTTGGGAGAAGGCTTCAGGCTGGAGAGGTGAGGATGTAGAGCCATGTAACTGATGAAAACACATGAGGCAAAAAAGGGCTGATTCACACAAAGAAGGGAAGGGGACAAGGAAACATGTCTGTCCTTGGTGATCCCAACATAGCAGGTTTAATGAAGAGGCAGGAAAGTAGTGCAGACTTGATTGGAAAAAGTTCAGGATAGAATTGGAGGAGGGGAGAGAGGAAGAGTGGTACTTACAACGCTTTGAGGAGTTTTGCTCAAAAGAGGAACAGAGAAATTGGTCTGTGAAGGAGGGTTTTTCTATGCATTCTCCCTGGAGACAGCATCTCTCTGATTTCCCACCTGTGTTAGCTTCCTTGGGCCACTGTCACAAATGACTACATACTCTGTATCTAAAACAAAAAATTTATTCTCTCACAGTGTTAGAGGCCAGAAATCCATGGATATTTTCCTTCTGTCTTTGTAAGTTCTTGACTGAGACTCCTGTAACACAAGAGAGATTAACAAAAGAAATGCAAACATATGTATTTAATGTGAGTTTTATGTGGCACTGGAGCCTTCATAAGGAAATGAAGAGCAAATTAGTGGTTAAAATTGAGTATTTTCCTGCTAGATCTGATGCAAAGTGGAAAATCGTGCAGAAATAGGATAGGACAATGAGTGTGAGCTAAGTGCGGTAAACTGGGAGAAACTGAGCAAGCCCTGTTCCTCAGATTCTTCCTTGATCTTAGGAGATAATATGCTCCTTTCCTCTGGATACAGGGAGGGAGCATCTCAGTGAGGGTTAACGACCTGCTTCAAGAGAAGGTCAGAAAGTCCTTCCTGCACATGATGTTTCTCAAATTCCTCCAGCTTGAAATAGTCAATATGCAAAGGTGCCACATCTTGGGGCATCTCCAAAGACCCTTTTTCCTTATAGAGGAACATTTTCAAGGTAGAGGGATTAAGACCCAGGTATCTGGGGTGGTTGCTCTTCTAACATGACCTTTTGCACCCTTGAATGCCCCCATCTCACTTGTGGACCTTGCCCCTTTGAATCTGCTTTTCTATACTCTTTCCCCTCCTCATGTTTTGTAAAAGCCATTATGAAGAGACTAAGTGTTACAGACTGGGAGAATATATCTTCAAATATATATCTAATGGTGACTTGTATCTGGAATATATCAGAACCCTCAAAACAAAATGTAAGTAAGAACACAAACAAATGAATCCAGTTAAATGTATATATTAAAAAACAGCTACTCAACAACAACAAAACAAACACCCTTATATAAAAATTGGCCAAGGATTCGAATAGACATTTCTCCGAAGATGTATGAATGTGCAATAAATGCAGGAAAATACGATCAACATTCTAACATTAGGGAAGTGTAAATTACAATCACACAGTGAGGGCTTCCTTTCACACCCATTAGGATGGCTATTTTTAAAAATTAACTAAAAAGCAAACAAAATTCAAAACAGAGACAACAAGAGTTGGCGAGAATGCGGAGACCGAAGAACTCCTATGTTTTCCTTTTCAGATTGCAAAATGTTGCATCTGCTGTGGAGAATAAAATGGCAGTTCCTCAAATGATTAAAAACAGAATTATTATGTGGTCTTGTAATTTCATTTTTGGATGTGTACAAAGAATCGAATGCAGGAACTTGAACAGATACCTGCACATTCTTGTTTGTAGCAGTATTACTCACAATCACAAAAAGGTGGAAGCAACCCGAGTGTCCATACACAGAGGAATGGATTAACTAAATGTGCAAAACACATACAATGGAATGTTATTCAGCCTTAAAATGGAAGGGAATTCTCACACGTGCTACAAGGTGGTTTGAAGACATCATACTAAGTGAAATAAGCCAGTCACAAAAGGAGAAATACTGTAGTTTCCACTTAAATGGAATATCTGGAGTAGGCACATCCACAGACACTGATATAAAAGAATGGTGGTGGCCAGGGTCCTGGGCAGGAAGAATGGAGTTATTCATGTAATGGGCACAAAGTTTCAGTTTGGGAAGATGAAAAAAGTTCTAGAGTTAAATGGTGGTGATGGTTGTACAACAATGTGGATCTACCTAAGGCTACTGACCTGAAAAATTAAAAAAGGTTAAAATAGTAAAATTTTTGTTACGTACATAATACCGTGTAATAATTTAAAAAGAAGCCAAAGAATTAGACACTTCACCAAAGAAGAAAAAAATGGATGACGAACAACCACATGAAAACAGGCTCAACATCACTTGTCACTAGGAAATAACAGGTTAAACCTGGGATACAATATACATCTATTAGAGTGACTAAAAGGCTAAACATCAAGAAAAATAAAACAAATTTTGGTAATAGCAAATGCTAATAAGGATGTGGAGCAGCCAGAACTCGCACACATTCCTGGGAGGAACACCAGTGATACAGCCAATCTGAAGAACAGTTTGGCAATTTCATATAAAGTTAAACCTACATTTTCCATACACCAGAACACTCTGACTCCCAGGTGTTTACCCAAGAGAAATAAACTGTATGTTCCCATAAAAACCTGCATGTGAATATTTATAGGAGATTTATTTATAGTCACTGCAAACCTGGAAACAACCCAGATGTTCTTCAGCTGTAAGTGTATAGAAGAAGGAACACGTTGAAACAATGGAGTATCAGTGAGCAATTAAATTGAGTAAATCGTTGACACATACACCCAATCAGATGGAGAACCCTTGAATGCATTATGCCAGGTGAATGAAGCCAGACTTTGAAGACAATATTTTGTCTGATTACATTACAAAAAGGATGGAGAACAGATCAGCATTTCTTCAGGGGTTATGGGTGGAGGGAGGATTTGGCTCCCCAGGGACAGCACGAGGGAACGTCTTGGGTGAGGGCTCTCTTCAGGATCTTGACTGTGGCTCTGATTACATCTGTCAAACCTCATAAAGTTGTACATGATAAAAAGTGAATCTACTGTATCTAAATTTAAAATGAATTGAAAAACACAAAGATATTCCATTACACGCCAACTACAATATTAAAATGTAATAGACTGATAATACAAAGTGCTAATGATGGGGTGAGGCTGCTAGAATTCTGGAACATTGCAGATAAGATTGGAAAGTTGAAAACCATTCTGAAAAACACTGACAATTTCTACTAGAGTTAAACGTGTGGTTACTCTTTGAGCTAACAATTCCCCTCCTTGTGTGTACTCATGGGGATGAAAAATGTCCGTAAAAAGACTTACGCCTTAATATTTATTGACAGAAACTCGAAAATCTCAAATTTCTGTCAACAGGTGAATAAACACATGACTATACTGTGCCCACAGAATGGAACTCTACACAATAATCAGACATTATGAACTACAGAAATACGCAACTGGGATCCATTTCAAAAATAGTATTGTTGAGTGAGAGAATCTAGACATACATGAGTACATTTCCAGGCAATTCTCCAGTAGGCAAAATTAATTCACCAAGATAGAGAGTATATCAATGGTTACCTGGGGTGGAGGTGGGAATGATGAGCTGAAAATAGGGTGGGAAAACTTTTTGGGGTAGTGGAAATATTCTATCTCTTGATCATGGAGGTCATAGCTGGGTTGTATACGTTTGTCAAAATTCATAGACAAGTTACTTTCAAGTGGGAACATTCTATTTTACATAAATTACAAAGTTCATTAAAGAAAAACAATGAGAACTCACTGAACCTTCCAGTCCATGAACATGGTATATCTTTCTTGACTGTGAAACCAGTTGTATTGAGGTTTCCTTTATGTGCCACATTCTTACTTTTTAAATAACCTGTATCAACTATTATTTTAATGATTGTAGACTCAATTCCTTATATTTCAAATGAGGGTGCAAAGTCTCTCTCTGTTAGGAATGCTGACAGAACAGTTATCTCAATAATCCTGTATTTGAAAGATTTTACTAATCAACGGTGGCAAATGTACTTGTGTTACAGGTGTCAAGAATTTCCACGATGCATACGACACAGAGTGAGATGCAAAACCACATGAACTGAACCTAAATTTTTAATTGTAGCTGTATGTTCCGCTCATGTTTTCTTGAAATATCGTGACTTGTGAGCCACACATAACTGTGAGAAGATGCTTTACATGATAGGAAATGCTAATCTGTATTATGAGGATCTAAAATAATTCACTCCTGTCCACACGTCACTCAACGACACTATTCAGGGAAAAGGAATTTCCACGGCACTGACTTGCAACATGTGTTCTCCCTTTTGGTTTACTTGAAAAGGCTACATGTTTTTTCTTTTGGAGATGCCATTGTAACTTCATGAATCAGCATACAAGAAGCAAAAAAAAGAACCTCCCATACTCATATTTTCAAAAATACCCAACTTGCTACCAGGACACATGGCCAACTCACCAGTGACTGCAGCTTTGAAGCCTGACAGGACTGGGCATTTGAGGAGGAAGTGACTCCACTGGGTGGGAGCATCTCACAGGCTTGCAGCAGGTCAATTGTATCCCTTCTTGTCTCTAGCATCCCCAACACGGAGATACTCAGGAAGTATTTGGAGAATGAATGAATGAATGAATGAATGGTTGGCTGCTGCCTTCATATCACCTAGGACGCCATCTCTTCTTCTGCCTCAGATGCTTGCACAGACCCTAAAGAATCTTACACATGGCGGAATCAGCTCCCTGGTGTAGACAACAGGGCTCAGAGAAGCACCTCAGATGAGAGGCCCTTAGAGACTCACCATGTCCCACTGCTCAGATGTCCTCAGAGGTCCTGGTCCAGGCTCCAGTGCAAGAGGGAATCCCTGATATGGGGACAGAACACTTGGTCAGCTCCTTGTCTGCTCCCCTCTGGGTGTGTCTCAGGGTCTCTGGGCTGTGTGGTGTCCTCAAGCTCTGTGCAGAGAGGGAACGAGCTCCAGGCTGCAGTTCCTCTTCTGTGAAACGCTGACCTCAAGTGCTCCTCCCAAGCTTCCTGTGGGTCTCCCTGCAGCCTCCCCTCCCACTCCTCTTCCCCTTCTCTTTTCAGTCACAGGACAGACGTCCAGATTCCTCCATCTGAGAGATGCTGCTGCTGCTGTCCCTGCTGTGGGCAGGTGAGTGGGCCAAGAGGAGAGGAGGTTGGCAGAGCAGGGGCTGTGTCTGACCATCATTTCCCACCAGGGACCCTGGCACAGGATGACAGATACCAGTTGGAAGTGCAGGAATCCGTGACGGTGCAGGAGGGCCTGTGTGTCTCTGTGCCCTGAGTCTTCTCCTATCCCAGGAAGAAAAGGACTTACGCTGCCCCAGTTCATGGCTACTGGTTCTGGGAAGGGGCTGACACATTCAAGGATGCTCTAGTGGCCACAAACAACCCAGAGAGTAAAGTACAGGAGGAGACTCAGGGCCGATTCCACCTCCTCGGGGATCCCCGGACCAACAACTGCTCCCTGGACATCAGAGACGCCAGGAGGAGGGACGATGGAAAATACATTTTTCGAGTGGAGAGGGGGAGTATGAAATGGACTTACAAATCTAACTCTCTCTCTCTGCATGTGACAGGTAAGGAGTGGGCTCCAGGAGAAATCACAGGGAAAGGACGTGGGGACCAAGGCAGGGCTGGTATGGGAACCCCCCCCCTCCAGGATTTGGGGGAACAGTGTGTCAGGGCTCAGAGGGAGGACCTGGACCAAACCCTGAGGCTACGTCAAGGCCAAATCTTAGACACTCCCTCCTGATTCCTCTCTCTCTCATCATCACCAGCCCTGACCCACACACCTGACATCCTCATCTCGGGGACCCTGGAGTCTGGCCACCCCAAGAACCTGACGTGCTTTGTACCCTGGGCCTGTGAGGGGTACGCCCCCCATCTTCTCCTGGACAACAGCAGCCCTCACCTCCCTGGGCCCCAGGACACAACTCTCCTCAGTGCTCACCCTCACCCCCCGGCCCCAGGACCATGGCACCAACCTCACATGTCAAGTGAAGTTCCCTGCAGCTGGTGTGACTGTGGAAAGGACCATCCAGCTCAACATCACCTGTGAGTGCTGGGCCAGGATGCCCGGGTCCCTGAGGGGGTGAGGAGGATGGCCAGGCTGAGGACGCTTGATGCTTTTGCCCTGGCGTCCTGTCTGAGTAGGGGACCTAGAAGGGCACAAGCCCTGTCCCTCCAGTGATTCCATGTGTCCTGGGGGTGGGGAGATACCTATATTTTTCTCACCACAGCCGCCCCACTGAAGGGGGAAACCTCTTATTGTCCCAAGTCTTACAGAGAACCCAGAAATCGGCGTTTGCCTAGGGGATGGCACAGGTAGGGAGGAGTCCCCACCCACGGCGCATTGATCAGGGTGGGGTCTCTCCCAGGTCGGGTCAGAGCTGGACTTTCAGAGGTCAGATGGTGGGGCTGGGGAGGAGTGGCCGCAGTTAGACATGAGAAGCCCCCATCCAGCCACATCCCCCTAGATCCTCCAACTCTCGTTTTGCTTGGATGACCCACAACCTCCTCCATGGCCATCCTTAACATGCTCTTTATCTTCCTCCAGTCATTGAAAGTCTTGGGGGGAACTTTTTAGTAGGCTTTATTTTTTAGAGTAGTTTTAGGTTCTCAGCAAAATTGAACAGAAGTTAGAGAGATTTCTCCTATACCCGCTGCACTTTCCCACACACGCAACATCCCCCCCAGAGGGTACAATTGCTACAAACCATGAATCTTCATTGTCAAGTCACTATCACCCAAAGTTTGTAGTTGACATAAGGGGTCACTCTTGGTGTTGTACATGCCAAGGGTTTGGACAAATGTACAATGATATTTATCCATCATTATGGTATAGTACGGAATAATTTAATTTCCCTCCAAATCTCTTTGGGTCCTTTTTTGACTGTCAATCTTCCAACCTCACCCTCACCTCTCTCTGGAGCCTGGCTCCCCCCACTGCTCTATTCCCATGGATAATGGTATCTGGTCCCCTCACTGGACAGTGAGTCCTGTTGGGGCTTTCTCAGCAGCACCCACCAAACTGTTGGCAGGTGAAGCCCAGAGACACATCCCTCACCCTCGGTGTTGGGTTCCCAGGAGGCATGGCCAGGCAGGGCCAGCAGAGCTGTCTGTGTCTGATCTGAAGGTTTGAGAAATCCCAGCTTCCTCCACCTTCTGAAGACATGAAACATCGCCTTTGATGGGGCCCATGGAGGACAGGAGAAGAGATCCAGACACCCTCCCTGGAATGAGGGAAGGACAAAGCCTTTCAGGATCCCATAGGACTCTGCATTTTTTTTCGCTCTCTGGATGCCCCCAGTGCCCAGAGACACACTCTCCTGCTGTAGCCAGGTCACGGGGCTGTTGCAGAGAGACCCTGGGTGAAGAAAGACCTGGGTCCTAGATAGAGATGGAGTTTGCTGGACATGCCTGTTGGAGATAGACATTGTCACATGGACCATGTTGTTCTGGAGAAGGCTGAGGTCCTATGATGGGTGGGAGAAGCTAGGGTCTGAACCATGGATGGGAGGGAATGTGTGCCCTTATCTCCCTGCTGCAGATGCAAGGATTCATATCAGTTCACCAAGATTGGAATTCACTCCAAGTCTCTTTTGTCTGCAGGGGAACCTGGGACCATGACTGGTGTGATTCAGGGAGCCATTGGGGGAGCTGGTGTCACTGTTTTTCTCTTTCTCTGCCTTGGCCTCATCTTCTTCATGTGAGCTTGGTTGGCTTTGGGCCAAGAGAGAGAGAAGAGGGACCTGGAGGTGTTGTGGTGACCCAGAGGAAGGGTGGGGTGTATGGTGGTGGTGAGAATTCAGCTGGTAGCCCCTGGGCCAAGCATGAATGTGTTCCCAGCCCTGGTTCCAGATGTCCAGGAGCACGGGAGGAGACCTTGTTACAAAGTCTTGTTATGAAGGTTCCTGGGCTTATACCACCCTCATCCTGCCTTAGTCCCTCACTCCAGCCTCAAAAGAGTGACCTGTGTCAAAGATCCTGGTGTCTCCCATCAGAGTGAAGACCTGCAGGAAAAAAGCAGCCAGGACAGCAGTGTACGTGAATGACATCCACCCTGCCGTTGGACGAGCTTCCCTGGTGAGTGACATGGGCATCCTAGCACTCAGTCTGCTGGACGCACCTCCCCAGGGTGGCTGACAGTCATGCTCCATTAGACATTTCCAGAAATACGCTCATCACTTTAATACTTATTTGAAAATGTAGGTGTTATTATTATAGTCATGCACTATACAACGTTTCAGTCAAAAATGAACCACATACACAACAGTGGTCCCATAAGATTAGTACCACACAGCCTATGTGTGTAGTAGGCTATACCACCCAGATTTCTGTAAGTATACTGTATGACGTTCACACAATGATGAAATCACTTAAAGAGGCATTTCTTTGGCTGTATCTAATCGTTAAGCAATGTATGACTGTATTCAGCTATGTGAGGCCAACAGATTGAGAGACAGTCATTACTCGCAGTTCCCAAGAGGAGGGGGAAATGCCACACCACACAGAGCCAGTTGAGGAACCAGTTTATTGTGTTTTCCATGGGAAAGGCAAGGTGAGGCAAGGTAAGCAGGCTTAGGACTGGCTAGTTTGAATAATTTCAGCTGGCTCTTGGGAGAGGCTGTCTCCAGTTCTTTGGTACCTGGTCCTGCGGTGACTAGAGTGGGAACATAGTCTGGAGTGTAAGAGCTTGATACAGGAAGTGGTTTGGGTGTGAGCGTTGCACTGGTTCACTTGAAATATGAAAGGGAAGATTGCAGGTAAGTCTTTTACTATCTGTAGAAATTCACTAGCTCTGGCAGGGACAATTCCAAGATTCAAAGGCCCCAGATGTCAAAACATCAAGAACACATGGTTAATACATGCTCTGATATACTTCTCCTGCTGGACTATCCACCTACGTGATGCTCATATCCCTGACACCCAAAGAGACACCTGCCTTGTCCCACCCCAGTCCTCCATCACCTCCCCCTGCACTCATAAGCTGCAATGCTTGTCTGTGCTTCTTCTAAATACAGCTTAATACAACCCCTCCCTTGGACTGAGCTCCCCTCTTAGTCCTTATCCTGCTGCAGTCGTCCCATCTCTCCTCCCCAGCAGATTAGCACTACTTCCATCATGAAATGCACTGCTCCTCCACACTTCCAAAAGATGAGCATCCAAGGAACTTAGTCTGGCATTTGGGGCAGGAAAACCAGAGTGCTCTTCAGTGCTTTGCTCCTCCCACACTGACCTGCTTGCTCACCTCAAGCAGAGTAAGCTTCCTGCATCTCAGAATCATTGCTCGCTGTCCCCTCTTCCTCACATGCCTTTATCAGCCTGTCCTACTCCTGCTCATCTGTTGAGCTCCGAATTTCATTTATTTATTTAACCCTGACCAATGTGGACCCTGCTATGAGGGTATTGAGTACATGGTCAGCAATCACCCAAGTATTCATCTACTCCATCAGCAACTATCTCCTGCTTGTTGATTGTTCTGAGGGCTTGGGTAATACCTGTATTTTGAAAAATATGTATGTTGCAAATGTAAAATGTCCCTACTTTCAAGGAATTCCATTTATTGGTGAGGGGGGTGATAATAATGAACAAATAAGTAGTGAAAATATGCAGGAAATAAGTGCTCTATAGGGAAATGAAATGGAACGATGGGGATAGATGGTTCTAGGGGCTGGAGTCTCTGAGAAAACACCTTCAGGAAGTGAAGGAGTGTTGTGTGAGCCCTGAGAGAGGATCGCTGAGGGCTCTAAACAGATGGAACAGCAAGTGTGATGGTTGTGAGGTTGGGGCATCTCTTATACCCTGGAGAAAAAGCAAGAAGACAGTGTTCCTAAAGCAGAGTTACGTGGAGGTGTGGAGTGGGTAACAGTGGGAAGGAATGAGGATGGGGAGGTATGGAGGCTGCATTTATCCCAGAGTCCTGCAGTTCAGCATCATTGCTTGTGTATTTTGAAAAGATGACAACTTCTGTGTGTGGCTCCTTTACAACTCACACAGGACACTTCAGTCCTGACAATTCTGGCATCAGGCATTTGGTGTTTTCCCCACACCAAGCAATTTTTTGTGACACCAGCTTGGCCTTCTACAACTTAGCTCAGTTCTGACACTATCTATCTGGACATAGCATCAAACCCCACAGGTTAAGTGTTCAGTCCCACAAGACTGCTCCCCCCCCCCCACCACTGCAGACACCAATCTCAAGTTAAAGTTGTCACCAGTGCTTCTGATCAACTGGCTACAAATCAGAGTGTCCCATGACTCCCTCCTCAGGTTCAATTTATTTGCTAGAGTGGCTCACAGAATTCAGGAAAACAGTTTGCTTACTGTATATCAGCTTATTATAAAAATGTGTGATACAGGATACAGTTGAACATGCAAATGAAGAGATGCATAGGGCAAGGTAGGTCGGAAGGAGGGAGCTTCCATGTCCTCTCCAGGAGTGCCGCTCTCCCAGCACCTCCTTGTGAGTCCAACCTGGAAAATCCTTGAACCTAATACAATTTGGATTTTCAAGGAGGCTTCATCACGTAGGCACGATCAAGTATTAACTCCATTTCCAGCCTGTTTGTGCTTCTTGGAGGAGAGGGGATGGGGCTGAAAGTTCCAAGCTTCTAATCATAGCTTAGTCTTTCTCGTGACAAGCCATTATCCAGGAGCCATCCAGAGTTGCCTCATTAGCACAAAGGCACTACCATCACTCAGGAAATTCTGAGGGAATTAGGAGTTTTATGTCAGGAACCAGGATGAAAGATCAAACATTAAAACAGGAACTGGGGCAAATCTATATATCTATATCTATATCTATATATGCATCTATATCTATACTAGGTAAATGTCTTAGAAGTCATAGATGTAAATAGATGCAATAGTTGTCCCTAGATGTCAAAGTTGCCTCTATTGATGTCATATATGTCCATAGATATCTGTAAATGTTAATGATGAGTCCAAGGGCGTTCATAGATGTCACAGATATTCGTAGATGTTATAGATGTCCATAGCTGTCAAAAATGCCTCCACAGATGTCCATAGACATCATAGATATCAAAGAGGACTCCACGGATGTGCATAGGTGTCTAGGTGGCCATAGATGTCTTAGACGTCCATAAATATCCAAAGATACCAAATGCACTTCCACCGTGGTTGCCTTAAGCAACTTAAGGAATTGAATTACCAATTCCTGAAATTGACAACTCTACAAGAAAAGCACATTTTCAAGAGATGATCAAACCTTATTTTCATTACTATAAGGTGGAGGTGCTCTAAGATGTCCAAGTGAAAGTGACAAGTGTATTACCAAAGTTTGGAGCTCGGGATAGAGGTCCAGGTGAGAGACACAGAGGTTTAGGAGTCCTCCACACCAAGGTCTCATAGTGGAAGAAGCCACAAAGAAGAGAAGGGGTCCATGGACACACCCCTGGAATCCTCCAGCATTTAGAGTCAGGGGGATAAGGTGGAAACAGCAAGAAGATCACTGATAAAAAAATAAATGCCAAGGAGGGTGTACCGTTGGATGCTGGTGGCAAGGGAGAGATGGAGCTTCAAGAAGGAGAAAGCACTCATTAGTTTCAAATGCTACTAAATCCAGTAGGATAGGGTTTGAGAAGTGACCATTTAAATTTTGCTAAGTTGTATCAAGTTTATCTTGGCAAAGCAGACCTGGTAGCCTTGTGGAGGCAGATATCTTGATTGGAGTGAGTTCAAGAGAGGATTGAAGGAGAGGAAGTGGAAAGACTCTTTTGAGAAATATTGCGGTAGATCTAGAGCTGAGAAATGAATCCACAGCGAAAATGGTTATACTCCTAAATCCCTTCAACTTCCTGTGTGAGAGCACTGTGTTTTGTTTTGGTGAGTTGACTCTTGATGGGTTTCTGGATGAGGATTTTCAACCCTGACTCGCTTCTCCAGAGACCAGAGAGGGGCTGGAAATGCATTTAATAATTGATCATGCCTCCATAAAATTTCCAAGGATGGAGTTCAGGAAGCTCCTAAGTTGGTGAACACGTGGAGGTGCTCTGAGAGTCTCACTCCTGGAGAGCACTTGGAAGCTCCATATCCCTTCCTACCCAGCTCCAAGTAGATAGTGTCAGAATTGAATTCAATTGTAGGACACCCAGGTGGCATCACACAGAATTGCTGGTTGTGCCGAAAAAAACCCCCACACATCTGGTATCAGAAGAGTTGTGAGTGTGATAGTATTGCGAGGCTAAAGGAGAGACACAGAAGAGGAGAAGTGGTTTTCATAAACAGCTTCCTGTGCATCCAGTGCACATAGGAGACCTGAGAGAGACCAGGATCTATAGTCATGTGACCTTGGGTAGCACCTAACCTCTCTGAGACTTAGCTTCTGTCTCTGTAAAATAATAGTATTTTCCACATGGGTCTGGGTGAGTGTCCAGAAGAATTGGAAAGCAACCAATAAGTACTTTATTTGTGGGATAATGGAGTAAGTGGAATCTTAAGAAATTTTTGATAAAAGAATGGAAGAATGAATGTGTTCTGTCAGAATCGAATTCACTTCATGGACCCTCTCTGCCTTCTCCCTGGCCACCACCCCACTACTGTGCTCTGATCCCCTTCTTTGCTCTCCACAGAGTCACCAATGTGAGTCCAAGTTAGACAGAGCCACTGACTCGACCACCTCTGTGGGGACCTCCTCTCCCTTGGGGATGGAGCCAGAGCTACATTATGCCTCCTTCAGCTTTCACAGGATAAATCCTCAGGAGGGCACCTAGAGGACCCATTGAGCAGTCAACGGGAGCATCAGTCTCAGCCAGAGCATCCACATCCCCTACAGGAAGGGGGCCCAAAGGATGAACACTGGAGACTTTCCATCCCCATAGGCAATGAACTTATAAACTATTATTTGTGAGTTTCCTGCTATACTGGAACTATATTAGGCTTTTCAATCAGAAAGATGAGGGATCAAATACATGGCCTTTTATTTATTAAGAATATAACATCATGCAAGCCACCTTACCCTTCCATGTCTCAGTTTCCTGCCTTGTGAAATGGACGTAAGAAGTCCTACCTCACAGGTTTGCCATGAGGATTAAATGAAAATACATATGGAAAACATCCAGCAGAAGTTCTGTTACATTGTAAGAGTTTTGCGCATCCTGGCTCCTTCTCCCTTGGACAGAAAGGCCTTAGTGACATTTCTCCCAGAGGCCGGGTGTGCTCTGTCCCAGACACCACGTCAGCCACATGTCAGTTCTCTCTCTACTCAAAGCCCTCCCGTGGATCTTGCCCTGTCTTGACCTCCAGAGCCACCCCTCTCCACTTCTGAATCTTTCCTCTCCATCCTGCCTACCTAGTACTAGTCCTGGTTAGGCAAAATCAGATATTAACATTCAGAAAGTTTCCTAAAACTCGGGGATGACCGTATTCAAAATACTTCTCTATCTCCTTAACTCAAAAGAATAATTACAAGCTTCTGAACTTAACATTCCTTGTCAGTGTCAGGGAACTTCTTTTTGAAAAGGGCCAGATAGAAAATATTTTTGGCTTTGCAAACTGTATGGTCTTTGATGCAACTATTCAACTCCATGATTGGAGCACAAAAGCAGCCATAGACAATGTGCAAGTGAATTAACGTGGCTGTGTTCCAACAAAATTTTATTTGCAAAAGCAGGCAGCCCTTGGACTATGATTTTCTAACCTCTTCTAGGTTGTCCTTAATTTCACCCTGTCTTCTCCATTGCCATTTCCTAACCCATCAATATCTCAAGACATTCTCTACATGCCCCCTAGCTTATTCTTTCCTCACTGACTTTGTGTATCCACCTCGCTCCTCCAGGAAGGCCCACATGTCATCACTTGGCTGACACCTTCTTGTCCTTCAAAATGAGCTCAGGTGGAAGATGGAGGGAAGCAGAAGCTCATAATCTTCCTCCTAAAAAAGCATCATGTTGGGGCTGGCCCCACGGCATAGTGGTTAAGAGCACGTGCTCCACTTTCGTGGCATGGGCTTCACAGGTTCAGACCCCAGGCACAGACTTACACTGCTCACCAAGCCATGCTGTGGTGATGACCCACATACAAAATAGAGGAAGATGAGCACAGGTGTCAGCTCAGAGCCACTCTCCCTCAAGCAAAAAGAGGGAGATTGGCAATAGGTGTTAGCTCAGGGCCAATCTTCCTCATCAAAACAAACAAACAAACAAACATAATATTGTTATTTTAGTAAAAATCAGTTTAAACAAAAAGAGCCCAAGATTTGCCAGCAGCACCCAACACATCAAAGAGACAAAGCGTTGTGCCATAAGTTAAAAAAATTACCCTTAGATAAACAAGTGGAAGATTCTGATGTAGCGTAAAAAATGCTGATACCTAACACCCCTTCACCCTGCCCTACATCCAGAAGTGAAAGTTGAGTCAGATCTGTTTATGATAATGTCGGTGTGGGTCATATGGATCAACCTGTCTGTTGAAAACTTTAAAAATGGATGGTTAGACTTACAATCCAGACAAGATGGCGTTGACGCATTGTTCCCTGTGTCTCCTCTCTATCCACAACTATAAACCCTGTAAATGGTGCAAGAGACAACCAAAAGAGAATTCTGGAAGGTGATAAGAAGAAGGCAAAATGGTTTTGGACCCCAGGAAAGGAGGAACAATACAGAGGCAGGACATCTCTGTCCCCTACCTTACAGAGTAAGGGCACTCAGGCTCACCATTTCCCAAATCCTGACCAAGAAACACAAGGTAGTCAAGTAGACTCATTCCTCTCCTGGATGGAAGGGGTGCCCCTCTGACAATATCAGGCGAGTCCAACACCACTGGCGAGGGGGATCTCTTGGAGCCAGAAATAAGTTTCCAGGAATTGCTTAACTTCCCCGTCAGGCCTGAGACTATCCTCTCATGAACAGAGGCACTGGGGCAGGTGGACAGAATGGGAGAAAGGGATCCAGGCGTAGTGTCTGATATTCCTGACCCTGATACTCAGTTTTCTCCTTTGTCCAATGCAAAGACTAGCCTTCTCACTTTCATAGTAGAATTGTTTTGTCTTATTTTTTAGTGAGGTTGGCATGATGCAAGCTACTTAAAGGAGCAGTACAGAGACCAGTGAACAGAGAACCTTTGCAAGAACATCCCGTTGCTCTGTGGCTCAGCCAGGTGGATTGGACAGACATTATCCACAGGAGCGACAATGCCTGAAATTGAAGAGGCTATGTGGTAGAAGGAGCAGAGAGAGGAGAGCAGCACCACCAACTCCTGATTGTCTGCTCCCCCCACCCCGGCTCCATTCATCCCCACCTCTTTTCCCTCCTGACCCCAAACTGGGTTCAGGAGCTTCTGCTCAGGCTCCTCTGCAGAGATGGGAGGTACCCAAGCTTCAATCCAGACCCTATTTCAGCACCACAAACAGCACCAGCTCCCCAGTCTGGGTCTCCCCAGGGCCCAGAGTGCATGGAGCCCCCAGAGGGGCCAACCACTTACCAGCCCCCAGTGCAGAGTGGGAGGAGCCTGGGAAAGGGTCTGGTGACATCCAAGGTCAATGATGCTGGTCAGGGATGTCCAGGACCTTCCAGGGTGTGCCACCATCTTCAGACTAATGTTCTGCATCCACCTTCAGGTGATAACAAGGGATTGAGTGGTCCTATGAGTTGAGGACGGTTTAGCCAGGAGTTTCCCTAGTAATTAAATGGAATAACATAGTAATTCTCTGGGCATTACTGATAAGAAAGCATTAATCACACAAAGAAGGGGGTCCTTATGGCATTTTACATCCGTTGTGAGACCTTGGGAGAAAAGAAAACTTTCCTTTTAACTTTGTATCGGTCCCCTCACCCAACCTGAGCCCCGCCCATCCCTGCAGGGATGATTTTTGTCTTTCTCCATCTGAGCTGATTTTCAATTTCATTCTGCAACAGGTTTTTCCTCTTTGTATGTTTTCTGACATTTCTGTCGGGGGCCTTCTGGTCTCTTAGGAGGTGGTCTCAACCCCTCCAGGGCTCCCACCCTAACTCTGCCCAGGCACTTCCTGCAGTTACTAGCCCAGGATGTCCTGAATCCCAGAGTCAGGAAGCAGCAGGAAGTCTGGCTCTGATAGGGATGGAAACAGGAACTTCATGCCCTCTCAACATTCCCCTATAAGTTCCCCTCTGTTGGTCTTTATCCTGCTCAGGAGTGCCCCCTGGGTTTGGCTTCTTCCTCCCCTATGACCTCTCCATGATCTACTATGTCAGGTGATCAGGACCCTGCCCAGATAACACCCTATCTGAGACCCTCAAACACCAGAACGTTGTTCACCAGCTGGTCACTTCCAGAGCCTGCATTCTACAGTTCTATGACCTCATTCTAGTTTTTCCTGGAAGGGTTGGTGGCTTCTGGAAAAGAAGGGAAGAGAAAAACTTCAACTCCTTCGCCTCTCAGGACAAGTGAAAGTCCTGGACATGGGAGCTTGAAAGGAAGGGAAAGAGAGAGGGACACCAGAATCATTGCCTCCCAAGCCTCTCTCCCAACCCCTAACCCACCTCTGCACATCAGGGAAGCACCTTGCTGAGTGGGTCCTGCCCTCACACAGAAAAACAAACAAACTTGTTCCCCTCTCACTTCTGGGCTCCCAAACTATTCCCTAAGGTTGTGTGTGAGTAAATGCTGGGAGAGGAAAGATATATGTATAAGTAATTTCCATCACCAAATGAAAGTAGTATTTTATGCAAGATACTTCTACCCGTGTATTTACCTGTGTGTAGATTTGGGAAGGCTGTCGTTCAAAACAGATCCATCACCTGCTACATAATTTATCACTACTGCATGCAAAGCAAGTTTACAGTGCTTGTGAGAGATGCACATTCTTGACTCCAAGGACTCACTTTCTATAGTTGGAACTTAAATACACAGTTAAGGAAACTCATCTTCTCACCTGCTTTCTGCCCCCCTCCAATCTGTTCTGTTCTCCATGGAGGACCCAGAGTGAATTATAGAATCCCACCCATTTCCCTTTTCTGCTTCTAGCCCTCTAGTGGCTCCCGTTGGCAAAATGGAAATAACCAAGATGCTTTAAGATGAGCCCAAGTTGTTACATGGTCCATGTTATTTGGCCCAGGGACCTGTTTCTAATGCCTAAACAACAAAGCCAACTAATGCACAGAGGCACACACAAATCTGTACATTTATTCTATCAAAGGATTATTTATTTTAAAAATGGTAAAATTATGACTCTCACGTAGATATAAAATGAACATATGTTAAGGATTTTTTATTATGGTAAAAAAATAACATGAGATATCCTCTTCACCAGTTTATAAGTGTACAGTATTGTTAATAATAGGCACAATGTTGTACAGCAGATCTCTAAAACTCTTTCCTCTTGCATGACTGAAATTTTACCCATTAAACAGCAACTCCTCATTTTATTTAACTCATTAATGGGAGAACCAGGCAGAAAAGAAAGAAGCACAAATTTATATGAAGTAAAGGAACGTGAAATGAATTTGTTTATGCATGTGAGACTGGTTTGGGGGAAGGATTCAAGCAGCCCCCAGTGGATAGAATGCACGTGTCTGTGGATGTGAACTATTTGCATTGTTAGTAATTGTCTGAGAATTATAACATTGTAAAATAATTCAAAGGTAAGAACATACTAGATAACTCAAGAAGGGAGTGCTCTAAAGAATACATAGTTTTCCATTGGAGGCAACCAGTAATCTCATTTTGCTTAGTCTAACTTTCCTTACAAGTCATAAAGAAAATATTTATTGATCACCTCATATAAGCCGAGTATTTTTCTAAGCAGAGTAGATTCAGCAGTAAATGGAAGAGATACAAGATCCTTTGTGAAGCTTACATTTTAATGTAAGATAAGCAAAGAATAATTAAGTGTCTTATACATTATGTTGACTATTGATAAAGTGTTTGGACAAAAACCAGGAAAGATATATAGGGAATATAAGATGGATTATACTTTCAATATGTTGCCCATGGATATTACCATTGAAAAACTGACATTCATGTATTTCCACATATGTACACATACAGTAGTCACTTACACAAACACATACACTCCGCTCAGACACACTCACAGAGAAAGACCATGGCCACACAGCCACACAGACACATACACAATTCAAATGCACACACAGACGCACACACCTCAGACACAAACACAGAAACCACAAACACAGATACACATATACATGCAGTCCAAAGAAATACAAACATATACCACAGACACACACATTGAGACTACAGACACAAACACACATGCATACACATAGACACACTCAGGCAACAGATACACAAAACGAGGCGTCATCCATTGGTTCCCTGGGATGATTGAGGCCCTGATTCTCAAGGCAACTAGACCTAATGTCCCAGCAGGAGAGATAGTTCAGGAATGTCCTCTGACTCTGGGCCAATTTTGGCTCTTTGGTCGACAATTTCATTCTCAGAACCTGCCTGCCCTGCACACTGATATCACCATACTCCTGTCCCTGCTGACCACACACAGTCTAGCAGACTCGGCAGCCTCACCACCCGGGCTGCTGACCCGTGCCTGGAGCAGCACTTATGTCCACACTCAGACTGACCACCAGGGAATGGAAAGGGAAGTTGGGACCATCTCTCAGACTTTGGACAGACTGAGACATCAAGACAGGACACGTGAGAAGGGGAGTAGACTCACCTGAGAGGAGTGGGGAGCAAAAAAGCAGGGGCAAAGAAGAGTGGGCTCTGGGCCCACAGCCAATGTGAGAGGCCCAGATGATATGTGGCTTCAAGAATGAGAGAAATCAGCTACTTCCTCCAGGATCCAGATCAAAGTATTCTGTTTAGTAAGTACAAATAATATCTCACAAGGTCTTCTGAGAAAATATATTTTAAAACTTTTCCTGAAAAATAATAGTTAGTAAGCATTACACTATTACAATAACTACTTTTGAAACTGATGACCCTCCCCGTGAGTTCCTGCCACTCCATTTTCTCAACCTGTCTACGTAAGGTCCAATACTCTCCTGGAATCTTTCTCTCTTCAGGTCCCTGTCAGTCTCCTGAATCTTAGGCCCAATGGTCTTTCTTATAGTCTCAGTGTCCTTAATTCCCTCAGGCAATTAGAGACATCCAGATATGCAGAAGAGTCCCTAAGGATGAACCAGGAAGCAGAGAGAATCATAAGAGAACCCCAGCCCACTAATCAAAGGGTCTTCTTTCCCCCAAATCCTTTTCTTTCAGGCAGGCCATATCTTCTCACCACTCCAGGTTATGTGACTGCTTTCCTAGTCTGAGTCTTGGACCCCATGCTTGAGGGATCAGATTCCTCAGAGCTGAGTGATTTTTGAGATCCGATCCTGGCCCGTGGTTCAGCACCATGGACAGCATCCTCCCCCCACCCCCCCCCCCCCCGCGCGCCACGCCCCGCCCCCCCGCCCCCGCCCCGTTGTGTCTATAATCTGTCTGGGAGGACAAGCATCGCCTTGAGAGCTGATCCACCTTCATTTCTCTCAGACAAATTAGTTCAAGATAAGACTGCAAGCAAGGGAGTGTCCACTATATCATAGCAAATAAAGGATCTGGACACATACTTCATTATTAGGTCATCACCCAGTAAGCCTGGGAATTTGGCATCAACTACAAATGCTGATGTATCTGTTGATGTTTGATGTATCCTGGAGCTTCTGTGACCATCGAAAACCATCCAACTCAGTGGCTCCTGTGAATGTTGGGCCAGGACTTCCAGGGCCCTGAGCACAATAGGGAGTCCAAGGAGGGTTCAGAGCTTGGGTCCTCAGTTTCTGGGGACCAGGAGCAAATACACATACACAACTACTTTATATATAACAAGAGCTGCACTTCAACGCAGTGTTGAAAATAAGGCCCTTTTGATAAATAGTGCTGGATCCGCTGGATATACATATGTGAAAAAGTGAGTCGTAACCCCAACATAACACAATGAGTGAAAATCCAGTACTAACGGCTTAGATATCTAACTGTAAATAGTGAAAATTTAGATATCTTGGGAGAAAACATAGAAAGCGATCTGTGTATTCTTGGGAATATGCAAAGATTTCTTAGATAGGGCAAACTATTACTAATAATGAAGGAAAAGATTGATAAAACTGACTACATCAGAATTAAGAAACTTTTCATAAAAGATATGATGAAGAAAATATGTGCAATAAAAATATCCAAGAAAAGACTTTAACGCAGAATAATTCAGTATTGGCTGAGAATTGATAAGAAAAAGATTAACAACCAAATACAAAAATGGGAAAATGACTTAAGCCCTTCACAGAGGAAGGTGTTCAAATTCCCTGTACATATATGAGAAAGTCTCTCAGGGCCACTAGTCACCAAGGAAATTCAAATTAAGCACACAATGAAATTCCACTTATCTTCATGATGGTTAAAATGAAAAAAAAAAAAAAAAACCACCCTGGAAATACCAAGTATTGGCTGGAATTGACAACACTAGTGGAACTCTCACATACTCAAGTTTGGAATGTAAATTTCATAACCACTTTGGAAAACTGTTGGGCAATACCTACTAGAACTGAATATGCACATACCTTATTTCTGAGACATGTTGCTTTAAAAGATATACCAAAAAAGTGCATATTTATATCAAAATACATGTTTATAGCAGCACTCTTCAGAATAGATCCAGAATAGAAATAACCCAAACATCCATCAAAAGGAGGCAGGTTATAGAGCATACGGCATATGCACGCAGTAGAATTCTTCCAGCAGTGAGAATGAATGAATTGGTGACATGGGTAACACTCACAACAAAAAGCGGATCACAGGAACCAGACACAAAAGAATACGTACTATAAAATCACATTTACATAAACATCAAAAACAAATAAAACTAGTCAATGAGATAAAAGCCATTACAGTGGTTACCTTTTGTTGGATGGTGGGCGTAACTCAAAATGGGCTTGGTGGGGCGTCTTGATCAAGGTGGTTTTTCCACTGTGTTAGCATTATGAAAATTGATCAAGTTTGTCTCTATAATCTGAACTCTTTCTCTATGAATGATTTGCTTCAATGTATTTTTATTTAAGAACAATATAAGAAGATATTTCACACACATAGATGCTAATTATTTTGTAAAGTTAGACGATATCTAAAAATCTTGAGAAAAATATAATTTACTGAAATTGTCTCAAGAAGAAGTGAAGAAACCAAATAGCTCTGTATCGATAAAAGAATTGATTCAGTAGGAAACATCATTTTCCAGGGAAAAATTCACTGGCAGCTTCTAAATGTACAAGGAAGAAATATTTCCAACTTTCCATGAATTCTTTCAAGTATGAAATTTACACCGCCCAGGACGACTTTTGGAAGTGTTTTGTTTTCTCTAGACTTTTACTGAGTTCTTCAGAATAGGGAAGCGGTAATGGCTGATCTCCAAGAGCCTCCTCATCTCTGACAGCTGTGGGTCTGAAGTTGCACTTATGTGCACAATTATCCTCCTGTTCATATTCACTGGCTTCCTGTTGTGGTTTACTCTTTTTTTCCCAAAACCATCCTTTCCATACCGAGGGACCCTGGTGACCAGACTTTCCCAGGGCAGTGCCTGGTACTTATGCTTCAAGAGATGCTTCTGCTGGGGGCCGGGCCCGGTGGCGCAGCAGTTAAGTGTGCACATTCCGCTCTGGCACCCCTGGGCTTGCCGGTTTGGATCCCAGGTGCCGGCATGGCACCACTTGGCAAGCCATGCTGTGGCAGGCATCCCATTTATAAAGTAGAGGAAGATGGGCACGGATGTTAGCTCAGGGCTAATCTTCCTCCAAAAAAAAAAATTATGTTAAAAAAAGAGAGATGCTTCTGCTGCTGGGAGTGCTGCTGTGGTCCATATTGTAGGAAGATGAGTGGACCAGGAGCCAGAGGGGTCCAGGATGGGGCGTGAGCATAGAGTCCGAGTGTCTCTCTCCAAGAGCTTTGGCTCTGAGTCCAGAATATGACCTTGACGTGCAGGAGCTGGTGATGGTGCAGGAGGGATTGGGCAGCCTTGTGCCCTGCACCATTTCGTACCCCAAGTATTACTGGATGGATTCTGACCCAGTTCATGGCTACTGGTGCCAGGAAGGGGCCACTTCTGGACAGGTTGCCCCAGTGGCTACAAACAGCCCCAACCCATAAGTGCAGCAGAAGGTCCAGAGACAATTGCCCCTCCTTGGTGATCTCCAGACCTACAACTGCTCCCTGCGCATCAGATATGTACATAATGGGTCCATGGGAGCACACTTCTTTTGTGTGGAGAGAGGTCACTACATGGAATACCATTACCAAAATCAAAAGCTGTTCCTGAATGTCACAGATAGGGTAAGTTTCAAAAAAGAAGCATTTCCCCTCATCCAAATTCGTGGGAGTCATCAAGGACCCTGGGAGGACCCAGCACAGGGGGTTCCCCTCCGGAAACTGAAGTCACCCCTTTTCTCTTCCCTAGCCTTGACCCAAACACCAGAGATCCATGGCCCAGGGATGCTGGAATCCAGTTACCTTGGAAATCTGACCTGAATCACTTTTTGTTCTATTCATGCCCTCAACAGACTGGATGATGCAATGCCTATTGGGGAGGGCAATATCCTTTGCCAAGTTCACCAATTTCAAAGGCAATCTCATCTAGAAGCACCTTCACAGGCACACCCACAAATAATATTTAATCTGAGCATCCCATGGCCCAGTCAAGTTGACATAAAATTAACTATTACACTGGCCTTGGAGGCCAATATAGGGCATATACACAAAGACTGACAGACACACAGCTGGTCATTGGGCATTCTGAGTACTGAGATGGAACATTTCCTGCCCTTCATGCTGGGGAAGATGGGGCTCCTGTGAATAAGCAAATGTTCCCACTTACCTGGTCAAAGAGATCCTGGGACAATGTCTCAAGGAGAGCGATACAAGGGATGTTATTTTCCTGGATCCTTTGCAAACATCTCTCTGGACTGTCTATGTCCTCTTGGGTCCACAATCCATGTACAGAGGCTTGATGGTCCTTGTCCCTTGAAGGCCAGCCTGTGGCTTTCCCCAGCATACACCTTGCTTCCTAGCTGTTGAACAGCTGTCATGCCAGCAATGTGAGCCAGCAAATCAGCGTTGATGTGTGAGAACCGCATAGCACCTGCCCCTCTGCTGACGCTCAGAGCCATGTGGCTTCTGCTTCAACTCCTCCCTTCTCTTGTGGCCAATTGTAACGTGGAAAATAGGGAAGAGGATTCTGGGAAATGTAGTTCCAGCCTGGCAAAGCCTCCACAGGCATCTTCACTGAAAGCTTCAAATCACATTTAAAAGTCATCCTTTAAATACAGTATGTGGAAAAATTCATCAGGTGAGTAAACCTCCAACTCTACGTTTTCTGTCTTAGCTGTGATTTGTGCGGCTACTGTTTCAGTTATCTCTTGGTGCACATAAACCGCACTAAATCTCAGTGGCTCAAAGAATCAATTATCTGAACTCATAGTTCCGTAAATTGGCCAGCTGGGCAGTTTCACTTCTAATTTTGCTTTGGGCTCTTTCAGACAATTGATTGGACTGGTGGTGGGGACTGGGGCTGGACGTCTGACTCCTCAGGGTTCCTCTATGTAGCATCTCTCTCCATCAGAGTCCCCTGGATCACTTACACAGAGGCCCAGAAATCCATGCTGCAGAAGTGGAGGCTGCCAGACCGTCTTCATGTCTGAGCTGTATGAGTCTCAGAACATATTGTCCTCCATATTCTATTGGTCAAAGCAGTCATGGCCCCAATCCAGGTTCAAGAGGAGGAGAGAATAATAGCAAACTTCATCTTGTAATGAGAGGGGTAACATGTTTGTATAAAGAAGGGGTGGGAATGTTTGGGGTTATCTTTGCAGACTAGACTAGATTCTGGGTGCTCCCAATGTTCTATTTCTTGGAGGATGTTCATTTTATGATGAATCACTGAGCTGTTCCTATGGGGGCACTTTTCTGGACGTGTCTTATATTTCCCTCCAAAAAATGCTTCAAGAAAACTGACATGGGTCTGAGGAGGCAGCACCTCCCAGGATTCCCACCATTTCCTCCCAGCCCCGTCACACAGTTAAAAATAACCTTCTGTAAATTCAGGCGCATGTGTCTTCGTTCATGAAATCCTCACCATCTCTGAGGGTGGACGACACCCAGGCTCCTCCTGCAAATCCAAATCATAGGAGGAGAGCCAGCTCAGGCAAAGACCTTGAGGCCAGCAGACTCCACCATGCTCTGGAGCAATGAGGAGAAGCGTGGCCCCATGAGACGTCTGTGATGAAGAAATCTGACCTGGCACCGAGATGGCTCCAACGAAGGGGGAAGTTTCTATCCCTTTCGAAATCTGCCACTTCCCTTCTGCTCTTTCTTCCCTCTAAAAACCCCACTGTGTAGAGAATCGCAGCCTCAGTTCCCCAGGCATCCCGAGAGCTGGGCTTCCCTTCATGTCCTCGGCTTCTGTTAACATATGGATCACTGGCCTCCATCGTCTGAGTGTTCCCTCTGCTGACTCCTCCTGAGACTGAACTGCCCACCTGGAGGGAGAGGGACGCCCCATCCTGCCTGTGTGTCCTCCATCTCAGCTGCTATGAGAGGGAGCTCTAAGTGCTGGGAGACCTGTTATCTCCCCTCTGGACAGTGACTCTCAGGGCAGCGTCCAGGGCTGGTGTGTGACCTCGTGAGCAGAGAGGTGATGCTCTCCCTGTGGATGCTGAAGGAGGGAGGACAGTCAGCCTCCTTCATAACTCCTGTCCTTGAGTCTTTCTCCTGACTGGACTGACCTCCACAGACATCTACAGCCTGTGACTCAGGAGGTCTGGCCAGAAGGGATCTGTTTTCACTTTGCAGAAAATGACCACCAGAGGGGAAGGACATTGACAAGGAGGCAGGAGATGGGGCTCAGGCCCTGCATGGGGTGTGAATTTAGGTGAGGCTCTCACCCTCCCTGGTCCAGGGTCCACAGGAGTGGATATCGGAAGAGGATGGTTGACTCCAAGGTCTGTCCCTGCCCTGATAGTGTCTGGGGGTGAACTTCCTCCTCTGAGGAGGGTCACTGTTCTGACTTTACCCTCAGATTTCTGTTGGAGTCTTCTCTAAATGTTGCAACTTTCAGTTCCTGAGAGAGAAGTGGACTTTCCCAGGGAACCTGGCACCGCCAACTCGAGACATGCTGCTGCTGCTGCTGGCCCTGCTCTTGTGGATGGAGGGGGCCAAGGGCCAGAGGGAACCCTGCGAGGATCACTCACTGCAGGTGCAGGGGTTGGTGACTGTGCGGGAGGGCCTGTCCCTGCACATGCCCTGCTCCTTCTCCCACCCCCAGGTTGGCTGGAATGACTCGACCCCAGCTCATGGCTAGGGTTCCAGGAAGGGGCCAAAATATACCAGGATGCTCCTGTGGCCACGTACAAGCCAGATCGTGAAGTGCAGAAGGAGACCCAGGTCTGATTCTACCTCCTTGGGGACCCCCCCCACCCTACAATTGCTCCCTCATGATCAGGGATGCCAGGAAGAGGGACAATGAAACATACTTTTTTCAGGTGGAGAGAGGGTATTATGTGAGAAATTCTTACAGAAAAAACCAGCTTTCATACACGTGGAGGGTAAGGGGCTGTCTGCAGGAACTGACACAGGGAAAAGATAGGGGGGTCCCGAGCCAGAGCGGGGATGGGACTCTCCATCCTGGGAGGGCTGGGGGTACAGCAAGTCGGCACCCTGAGGGAGGAGCTAGGCAAAGCCTGAGGCTTCTCTCAGGGCTGCTTTTCAGACTCTAACTCCTAAGCCCTGTCTCCCTCTCTCTTCCTCAGCTCTGACGCAGACACCTGACACCCTGATCCCAGGGACCCTGGAGTCTGGCCAGTCCAGGAACCTGACCTGCTCTGTGCCCTGGGAACTGGACAGTCGACAAATAAACACAAAGTTCTTCTTGTCCCCAAATCCTTTCCTCCTCGGCAGACCGTATGTTTTCACCCCTGTAGGTTATATGGCTGCTTTCGTAGCCTGACTCTTGAATCCCATTTTAAGAGATCAGATCCCTCTCAGAGTTGGGTGATTTATGAGCTCAGAACCGGGCCCCGGTTCAGCACCACAGACAGCACCAGCCCCTTGCCTGGAGCAGCGGGGTTTCTGTTCCTTGGTCCTCACTCTGATCGGGGCCCTCAGGAGGGCTGGCTTCCTCCTCAACTATGGCCTCACCTGGATCTACCACACCAGGTGAGCAGGCCTGTCCCTCTCCTGGGAAGTCCAGTGATTGGCCCCTGAGTTCCAGGTGGGGCTGAGCTGTCTTGCCCTGCCTGGAGTCAGAGTTAATGTGGCTGATGTGCTCATCTGAGAGCCCTGGTGGCTCTGCAGGTGTCGAGGTTCCCTGGGAGCAGAGCTGAGAAGGCTGACTGAGGATCCCTCCTTCTCAAGACGGGACTGAGGTGTTGACATGGAGCCCAGAGGGATAGATGTGGCGACATCGCTGTGAGCTTCTCTCTGGAAACGCCCAGCCCTCACTGCCTACTACTGCTCCTTCATTTTCCACCTGACTCCTCTCCCAAAATACGCAAATCCCCTCCCATCCCTGTTCCCTCTGGTCCCTATTTTAGCAGTTTGAGGGAGAGGTGAGCCTTCAGGTCCTTGGCTTCCCACCACTCAAGAGTTAACTTGTTAACACTATACAGTTTTTAACTTAAAACTTGGTTACTATTTTTTAACGTATTCGTCACCTTTCCCTCAAAAATTGCACTTTTAATGGTACGCATTCCACAAGCGTTTATTTATCATCCACTGTGGGCAAAGTGAAGCCCAACATTTTCAGGGGCTACAAACATGAAGCAGGGTTATGCTGTGTGTGTGACAGCAATCCTCATCAACAACAGTACCGGATGAGAAGTGGCCCCAGACTTCCGTCTTGCTCACCTGGCTCCTCTCCAGCTAGCCCTTCAACCTGCTCCCTTCAGAGCAGCCAGAGGGGGCACCTGAAAACACAAATCTTATGATTTTACTTCCTGGCTTTCCAGCTTTGAACTCTTCTGTGGCATCTATTTCTCATGGAAATATGAGAAAGTAAGAAATACAACCCAAGAGACCTTGCTTTGTCTGTCCTCTTCTTGGCTGTACTCATCCGGGTTCTCTAGAGAAACAGAAGCAGATGGCTATTTATTAGGAGGAATTGGCTCACACAATTATGGAAGCTGAGAAACCCCACCATCTTCTACCCAAAAGCTGGAGACCCAGGAAAGGCAGTGCTGTAATTTCAGTGTGAGTCCGAAGGCCTGAGACCCGGAGGAGCTGATGGTGCAAATCAGTCTGAGGGCAGGAGGAGACAGATCTCCCAGCTCAGCAGGCAGGCAGGAAGGGAATGAATCCTCTCTTCCTCTGCTTTTTGTTCTATTCAGGTCCTCAACGGATTAGATGAAGCCCACTCTAATGGGAGAGGACCACCTAGTTTACTGAGTCCACTGATTGAAATGATAATCTCATGTGGAAACACCCTCACAGACACACCCACAAGGAATGTCTACTATGGGAATCCCATGACCAAGACAACTCAACACATAAAATTACTCATAACACTGGCCCAGGAGGTCAATGTTCAGCTTATGTACACAGACAGAATACACACTCATAGCTGGGATTGACCATTCTGAGGAATGAAATGGACCATTTCCTGCCCTTTTCCCTGGGGAAGATGGGGCTTCTCTGAATAAGCAGGTGACCCTCATCATCAGGTCAAAGAGATCTGGGACAAGGTCTCCTAGGAGAGAAATACTAGAGGTGTTCTTTTCCTGGATCCTTTGCATGTCACTGTAAATGTCTCCCTGACCATCTGTGTCTACTTGGATCATCAATCCATGTACCAAGGCTTGATGGTCCTTGCCCCTTGAAGTCCAGCCATTGGCTTTCTCTGACACTTTCCTTGCCTCTCAGCAGTTGAGCAGCTGTTAATTCACGCCAGCAAGGTGAGCCAACAGATAGCAGTGATCTGTGAGGGCTGCAATAGTACCTGCCCCTCCACCGATCCTTAGAGCTTGGTGGCTGCTGTCAACGTCTTCTTTCTCTTGGGGCCAACTTTAACCTGGAAGCAAATAGAGAAGGGGATTCTAGGAAATGTAGTTCCAGCCTGGCAAAGCCTCCATGGGTATCTTCACTGAAGCCTTCAAGTCACTGTTTAAAAGTCATTTTTTATATGTAATATGCGGAAAAATTCATCAGGCAGGTGAACCTCCTACTTTACCTTTTCCCTGTTAGATATGATTTGTGTGCATTACTGCGTTGCTTATCTACTACTACACATCAAACCACCCTAAAACTCAGTGCACCAAACAATCTTCTTATTCTATCTCATGGTTCTGTAAAGTGGCCAGAGCCGGGTTGGCTGTTTCTCTCCTAGTTTTGCTTTTGGCTGTTTCAAACAGTCAGGTTGGGATGGCAGTGACTGGGACTGGAGTTCTGATCCCTCAGGATTCCTCTCTGTAGAATCTCTTTCCATCAGAGTCCCCTGGATTGCTTACACAGATGCTCAGACATCCACGATTCCTGAGTGGAAGCTGCCAGGCCTTCTTAATGTCTGAGCCATATGAGTCTCAGAACATCGTGCCCTCCACATTCTATGGGTCAAAGCAGTCTTGGGTCCAGTCCAGGTTCAAGAAGAGGAGAAAATAATAAAATCTCCATCTTGCAACCAAAGGAATGTCATGATTGTGACACATGTTTATAAAGGAAGGGAAGAATTTCTTGGGGTCGTCTTTGGATTCCAGTTCCTTCAGCTACTCGCCTGTCTTGGTGTCAGTGGCCTCCTCTATCTGATGAGGGAGATTACCTCTGTCAGGGATGTGGGGAAAGTTAAATGGGAACAGACAAGTAAAGGGGCAGCCCCGAACCTTCCTTCCCTGCCCTTGGACCGGTGGCAACAGCCTGGCATCATCCACATGACATTCCCTGGGGTGGACAGAAGGACAAGGAGAAGCAGCAGAGGTTTTCCCCTCCCCTGACTCCCTCCTTCTAGGTAGACCTGAGTCTTCCCAGCACATCTGACACCCTGACATTCCTGAGTCCAGACATAAGGTCCCTGTGCTGTATGGTCAGTCCCCTCCAATGAGCTGCAGACATCTCCAAAGTCAGCACTCAGCTCTGAATCAGCACCGCGGACAGCATCACCGCCCTCTCCTGGGGATCCGCAGGAGCCAAGCAAGGCAAAGAGAGTGCTCCTATGGGTGAAGGCCTGACCCCTGCCAGGGCAGAGGTGGGGTTGGTCACAATCAGAGCACAGAACTTGGTAGCTGGCGGAAGACCTCCAGCACAGTGGGGGAGCGAGTGGAATTCAAAACATACTACCTGAGAGTCCAGAGATTTCCAGGGTAACATGACCACCTGTGGAAGTCACATCCCTGGTGATTGCCTGAGTGTCCCTACCATGTCTACTTGACCCATTCCTCCCTGAAAACTCACCTTCCAGTCCAGAAGAGCAAGAGCCCCACTCACCCCAGCCTGTGCTTTCCCATCACAGTCACCTACCCTATGGTACTAGAATTGTCAGGCAACTTGTCTGTCTCCCAACCAGATGCTGCTCTCCTCAAAAGCAAGAGCTAGATCTGTCATATTCACCCATTTACTGAAGGCACCCTCCCTGAAGGTACAAGGTTGTTGATTGGTTGAATGAATGAGTGAAGGAAGTCTCCTCCCTGACTGCATGAGAAGAGTCGGCAATTCTTCTCTCTCAAATTAAGATAAGCTGCCAGTCTCCCAGCCCAATGAATCCGGGGCAAAGATTGATGAAGGGGCTCCGAGTGCAGACAGTGGTATATGAGACAAAGCACCCCTGTGATTTGTGCAACTCACTTGCCCACTCTTGGACCTTTGTGTCTTCTTCTGTAAATTGGAGAAGTGGAGCTAGTTGGCCCCACAGCGTTGATGGCGTGTAAGTCGTAAGTTCCTCTTTTGCACACAGTTAGATTCTCGGTGGCTTCCCCATGTCTCTCCTTCCCACTTTTATGCTATTTTTTGCAAATTGGGGACCACGGGGAACAGGCTGGGCATGACTAAGCCCTTCTGATCACAGATTCTGCAACTGCTCCTGCAAGGAGAGAGTGAGTGGCCAGGACAGGGGGGCCCAGGAGAGGGGGAGGGCTGCAGGATGAGATTCCAGCTGAAAATTCAGGAAATGGTGATGGTGTGGGAGGACTTATGCGTGCTCACACCCTGTACCTTCCTTCTCCATGATCACAGCGCTGACTCTACTCAGGGGGTTGGGTAATAGTTCTGGGAATGGAATAATATAGGTTGGACAGATTCATGAAGTTGAATAGAAGAAAACACTGTGATTTTTTCCATGTATACAAAGTCTTTAAAAAAAAGCATGCACAAAGCCATAGTATTAAGGACAGCATGCTCAGATGATAAAACTACAGAGAAAAGCAAGGAAACAATTGGCTTCACAGTGAAGTTGGGGCTCCTCCGAGGGAGTAGGCATTCACGATATGGAGGAGGACCAAGGGGGAGGTCCTGGGTGCTCCCCATGTTCTATACCTTGAGTGTGTTCATTTTGTGGTGAACCACTGAGCTTGTGGGGGCACTTCTGTGTATGTGTCTTACGTTTCCCCCAAAATAGTCTCAAGGAAACCAACATGGGTCTGAGGAGGCACCACCTCCCAGAATTCCCACCACCTCTGCCCACCCCGTGGTCACTGAAAATAAACTCGGTGAATTAAAGTGCATGCCTCTTCTCTCACAAAATCCTCACCGTCCCTGAGGGTGGAGGACCCCCAGGCTGGCGTTCCTCACTACGTGTCTACTTCACGTGTCTCCATGTGTCCCCGTAACAGGGAGGTTCTGGTGCTGGGACACCTATTGTCTCCCCACTGGACACTGAATCTCAGGGCAGCGTCTGGGGTTGGTGTGAGACCTCATGAGCAGGGAAGGGACGCCCGTCATTTGGATTCTCAGGAAGTGAGGACAGTCAGCCTCCCACATCTCCTGTGTCCCTGAGTCCAACCCTTGGCCAGACCAACCTCCACAGACAGCCACAGCCTGTGATTCAATAAGTTTGACCAGAGGGAACATATTTCACTTTGCAGAAAATGACCCTCCAAGGGGAAGAACATCCACAGGGAGGCAAGAGAAGGGGCTAGGGCCCTGTGTGGGGTGTGAATTGGGTGAGGCTCTCACCCTCCCTGGTCCAGGGTCCCCAGGATTGGATGTGGGTGGAGGATGGTTGACTATAGGGCCTGTCCCAGTCCCCACAGTGTCTGGGGTGAACTTCCTCCTCTGAGGAGGGTCACTGTTCTGCCCTCAGCCTCAGCTTCCTGTTGGAGCCTCCTCTAAATCTTGAACTTTTAGTTTCTGAGAGAGAACCCTGAGAAACAACTTTTGTCGGGAAATTTGGCGTCTCCAACCCCAGACATGCTGCTGCTGCTGCTGCTGCTGCTGGCCATGCTCTGGTGGAGGGAGGGGGCTGAGGGCCATAGAGAGCCCTGGAAATATTACCAGACTTACCAGCTGCAAGTACAGAGGACGGTGGAGGTGCCGGAGGGTCTGTGTGTGCGAGTACCCTGCTCCTTCTCCTATCCCAAGGATGGCTGGACTGAATCTACCCCAGCTCATGGCTACTGGTTCTGGGAAGGGGCCAAAACGAACCAGGACGCTCCTGTGGCCACAGATGACCCAGATAGAAAAGTGCAGGAGGAGACCCAGGGCCGATTCCACCTCCTTGGGAGCCCCCATACCTACAACTGCTCCCTGGACATCAGAGATGCCAGGAGGACGGACAACAGAACATACTTTTATCGAGTTGAGAGAGGAAAAGCAAAATGGAATTACCAAGAAGACTATCTCTCTGTGCATGTGATAGGTAAGGAGAGGGCTCCAGGAGAGGCCTCAGCGGAAGTACTGGGATAAGACCTCACTCCTGGGAGGTGTTGGGGGTAAAGAGTGTCAGAGTTTAGAGGGAGGAGTTGGACCAAAGCTGGAGGCTTTTCTCAGGACTGCACCTCAGACCCTCCATCCTGATCCCCACATCTCCCTCTCTCCCGCCAGCCCTGACCCACTTACCTGACATTATCATCCCGGAGACCCTGCATTCTGGGCACCCCACGAATCTGACTTGCTCTGTGCCCTGGGCCTGTGAGCAGGGGACACCCCCCATCTTCTCCTGGATGACATCAGCCGTCACCACCTTGGGCCCCAGGACCCGACGCTCCTCGGCTCTCACCCTCACCCCACGGCCTCAGGACCATGGCACCAGCCTCGCATGTCAGGTTAACTTGCCTGGGGCTGGAGTGACCAGGACAAGGACTGTCCTCCTCGACGTGTCCTGTGAGTGCTGGGCCAGGATGCCCCATTCCTGATGTGATCCTGAGGGCAGTGGGGATGGAGGTATGATGGCCTCAGACACTGGTGTGGGGTCACAGAATCCAGGCTGGGAGGGGGTCAGGAGGTGGCCCGCCTCTATCCTTCCCCCATATTTGCAGCTCCTGGGGACAAGGGCCCATGTCTACCCAGCCCTCAACACCGATGTGTGTCTTTCTCTCCCAGACCCTCCGCAGAACTTGACCGTAACCATCTTCCTTGGAAACAGCACAGGTAGGAAGGAGCCCCCTCCCGGGCTGTAGGGAGCAGGACCTCTTCCAGCTCAGGGCAAGGCCAGGTCCCTGCCTCACCCTGGATTCACCCCAGTGACCGGCTTGTGGGTGAACCCAGTGGTCCCTCCCATCCTTAGCCCCCATGGCCTCTGAGAAGCTGTCCCCATCGGCCCCTCACTGCCCTCAGCCTTCTCCAATCCCCTCAGCTCCACAAGGGAAAAAGGGCAATTCACATGGCAGATCCCACCTCTGGAGACCCCTAATCATCAGTCTTTTGGTGACTGTTCCAGCCTTGTCTTTTTATTTTCTCCAACAATTGCTTACTTAAGTACCTTTGAATAGGTAATATATTCACACGGTCCAAAATTCATAACGTACAGCAGAGTCTGTCCTTCTGATGCCCAGTCCCCTATAGGGAAGAGATCAGTGTCCATACGCTGCTCTGAGCCTTGGTTTGTTCACATAAAGGATCTAAGTTGTCCTTTGATATCAGTAGCCCAGTTGTCCTCATTCTTCCCCACGACTGTGCAGTATTCCATCGTCTGGATGGATTCTGAGTTTGCACGCATCTTCTGTTAATGGAAAATCATGACATTAATTTTATTCTACTGGCAGAAACACTGCAATGAACAAGCCTGTGTCTCCTTTCGCAAACATGTCTGTGGGAAAGATTCCTATAAGCAAAATATAGCTGCTTCCTATATTCTTTCCAATTTCACCAAGTGGTTCTTTTCAGAGGGAGACTAAGTTTACATTCCCACCCGTGAGGGATGAAAGTGTGTGTTTTCCTGAACTTGCACTTACATCTCTGTGTCTGTCCTCATCCAGTCTCTGTCTGTATCCTTCCTCTTTATCTCCACCTCTTTGTGGCTCTGACCCTCTCTCTCTTCTTCCCAGCACCCACAACCCTGGAGAATGGCTCATCTCTTTCAGTCCAGGAGGGCCAGTCCCTGCGCCTGGTCTGTGTTGCCGACAGCAACCCCCCTGCCAGGCTGAGCTGGGCCCGTGGGAGCCAGACACTGAGCCCCTCACAGTCCTTGAACCTCGGGGTCCTGGAGCTGCCCCAGGTGGAGTCAAGTCACGAAGGCAAATTCACCTGCCAAGCTCAGCACCCTCAGGGCTCCCTGCACATCTCCCTGAGCCTCTCTGTGCAGAGTGAGTGCACCGGCGGGTTGGGAGGAGGGCTGGAGGAGGAGACAACACCCACCCTCACAGTCCACTGAGCAGCCCCCTGAGCTTCAACAGAGCTCAACTCTGGTCTGTGCTCTGCTGTGAGGCCTGAATTTTCCTGGACTCAGAGTGTCACTGTCCACTTCCTTCCAGGCCAGGGGTGTGGCGTGGGGTGAGGGCTGGGAGGGAAAGGCCAGCGAAAGAGGTGGGTGTTGGAGGAGAGGGGCTGGGGCCTGGACAGGTGTGTCTGGGGACACGAGGCCCTTTCTTTGCAGGTTGAACAAGTCTCAGGAGAGTGAGGCTTTTACCATGGGCACAAAATTTAAGGAGAAGCCAAAAAATCCTCCAGAATCAAAAGGAGTAATATTACAATGCAATAGTTTTTAAAAAATAAAATGAATGCAAAATAAATGCCATGATGAACAAAATATCACCATTTTAAATAAAGTCAGGCTGCAAATCTGCTCTTGTATGCCTCACTCTCCTCACTCTAACCCTGCCCCCTCCACCTGCCCCCAGTTCCATGCCCCTTTTTTTGCATCTGGCAAAGTGGCCTCAACACAGAAGTCTAGGGACCTACGTGGAGTGGGAGAAGAAGAGACCGAGTTCCCATAAGGGAATCACCAATAATCCAATCTGTCTGCAGGAAAAGCGTGTCCTTCATCAGGAGCGGCACTGGGGGCCATCAGTGGAGCAGGTGCTACAGCCCTGCTCTTCCTGTCCTTCTGCATCATCGTCATCATGTGAGCAGTGACCCTGGGGAGGGAGGGAGAGCCCTGGGGTGGGAAGCACAGGCAGCCATGGAATCCCTGAGCCCAGAGCCAGAGGGACCTGGGTGGGTCAAGAGCCTGAAGCAAGGGCAGGAGGAGGTCCCTGGCACCTGGGCGAGTCTGTCATAAGCCCTTGGCCCCACTGCTCAGGAGGGGGGAGCCTGTATTCTCAACCTTGAGGTCTCTGGGTCAAAACCACTCCTTTTCTACCTCAGTCACCCATCCTGCCCCTTCAGAGAGAACAGAGGAGGGGGTCAGTCTGCCCACTGCACCCTGAGCTGCTCTGACAGAAAGTCTCTCTGGTCTCTTCACTCAGAGTGAGGCGCCACAAGAAGAAGGCAACAAGGCCAGCAGCAGGCGTGGGGGACATGGCCATGGAGGGTACCATCGCTGTCACCAGCTCAGTCTGTCAGGTGTGTGACCTGGGCATCTCCCCATCCAGCATCCTGCATGGATACCTCCTCCAAGATGGTGCCCTGCATTTGATTGTCCTACTCAGCATGGCCAAAGATGCATTCCTCATCACCGCCTCTTCATCCTCCCATGCTGGATTACCCATCTTGATGACAGCAGGACAGTTTTCTCCTCTTTCCTTCAGGCCAGGTGCAGAGGAGGCACCTTCTCTCTATCCTCCTTTTCTTTTGCCACAGCCAAAAATTGACCACATCTTGTCCATTTTTCTTTCTACGAGCAGCAAGCATCAGTCTCCCTCTCTCCATCTTGACTCCTGTCATTGCAGAGGCTTCAGGATCTCTTTCTTGGACCCCTCATTTCTCTGCCTTTCACCTCCTTTGCCCTACACAGAGCGACCATCTAGAAGTCACCGTTGTCCAGCTGCTCTGCGTTTGAATATATGTTCGCCCCCATTGTCTAGAGCAGAGGCTGGCAAAATTCTTCTAACAAGGGTCAGATGGTAGACATTTTTAGCTTTGTTGGCCTGACACTCTCTGCTACAGCAACTCAACTCTGATTTGCAGTGTGAAAGCAGCCAGAGACTATATGTAAATAACTGAGTGAGGCTGTGTTCCAATAAAACTTTATTTACAAACACAGACAGTGGGCTGGACTTGACCCACGGGCTGTAGTTTGCTGACCTCTGACCTAGAGAATGAAGCTCAAACTCCTCATCCTTGAGCCCTGCGTCCTCCAGCCTCTCAGTTCCTACCCCTCCAGAAGGGCTGGGGTTTGGGTGAGGAGAGTGAGGCACTCTCCTCAGATGCAAAACTTGAGGGGATACCAGAAACCTCAGCAACTGAGATAAATAATATTTTAGTACACTATTTTAAAAAAATCACAAGTAATGAAAAAAAATCCATGATAAGCAAAATATCAAAAATCTAACTAATGGTAGAATCAGTAGAGTGAAGTTAGTTAATAGTTATTTAAAATCATTTCTCCATCATAGGAAAAGCAGAGGCAGAGAAGAATGTTTTGAAAATATTTTGTCTGCTTTCGTTTCCAGTAAAGTCAGGAAAGCAAAATTATAATAAATTCTGGTTTGGGTATACACAAACCCTTTAATATCTTAAATTTAAACTTTAATCTTAAATCATGTTTCAAATTTTCAGTAATATTTCCATTATTTTAATGTTCTGGAAAAAGTGATCACTAAAATTAAAAACACATATATAGGAGGACACAGTTTTTCTTCTGGCTCAGGTTCCAACTGGTTCAGAAGGGCACTCTAACCAATCCTAGCTTATTGAAACTTTTGATATTCTGTTTTCCATAAGATCTTTTTACATTCATTTTGATTTTAAAAATATTGCATGAAAATCTCATTTATACCAGTTACCAAGGTTTTGGCTCCCCTTTTAGATTTGCATTGTGAATGACTGCCTCCCTTGCCTCACCCTGATCCCCGCCCTGCGGTCCAGTCCACTTCCGACCACTCCTCCTGCCTCCCGTCTTTTCTCCACCCACACTGGACTTTTCATCATCATCAAGCAGAGCAAAGTCACTTCTGCCTCTGGGTCTTTGCATGGGCTGTTCCTCCCTCCTCTCTTACTCTCCCCTCCCCTTTTGGTTGGGGAGCAACTAGAAATGAGGCTGCCAGTGAGGTCGACAGACCAGGAAAGTGTGATATCTTGTAGTTAAGTAGAGAAGGGCTTTCATTCAGGGAAGACATGCAACAGAGTCACCTGCTGCTGCAGAGTCCAGAGAGGTGAGGACTGAAGATGGCCATTTGGATTTCACTAGCAGAGGTCACTGGTGTGCTGGATAATAGCAGTGTGGGGAAGTGGTTGTGTGTGTGTATGAATCTTAATCTGGATAATCAAGAGAGACTTGGAGGAGCACAAACGTTAACAATTCTGGTGAAGCGTTCTCCTGTCAAGGGAGCAGCAAAGAAGGATGCTCCCCAGGTAGCACCTGTCATTCTCGACTGTGTGAGTCTGTATTAGCTTCGTGTTCCCACTGTAATGAATTAACACAAATTTAGTGGCTTCCAGCAACATAAATTTATCATCTTACAGTTCTGGAGGTCACAAGTCCAAAATGGGTTTCACTGGGCTGAAATGAAGGCGTTGGCAGGCAGGGCTGCGTTTCTTCTGGAGGCTCCAGGGGAAAATGCATTTTCTTGCCTTTTCCAGCCTCTAGAGGGCACCTGCATTCCATGGTTCATGGCTCCTTCCCCCATCTTCAAGGCCAGAACCAGAGTATCTTCAGATCTCTCTTTGCCTCCTTCCTCCCTTGTCAAGACCCTTGTGATTACATTGGGCCCACCCAAATAATCCAGGAGGATGTCCCAATCTCAATATTCTTAACTTAACTCCATCTTGAAAGTCCTTTTTTTCATGTAAGCAACACATTCACAGGTTCCAGGAGATTAGGGCATGCACATCCTGCAGGGATGTCATTCTGCCTACCACAGGGCTGTAACTTCTTTGACTGACTTGTCCTCCCACGAAACTCTTCCCATGGGCAGGTGCCATGCCTGAATCAAGGCCCTGAAACCATCTCATTTACTGTGTTCCTGTCTATCATATCTTGATTCACAATTAGAGATTTGTTTAACTCACTTTTTTCTGCCTCCTTCAAATAAAGAATAAGCTGCAAGAGGTCAGGGCCTGTGTCTTCTGTGTCCATCACAGTATGTCTAGCACCCAGCTCAGGGCCTCACACACAGGGGCCCTCAGGCTGTGGGGTTAGAAAGAACTGGTTTGGATGCTGGTTTCACCAGCGACTTTGAGCATAGTGCTTACTTGGTTCAACCTCAGCTTTAATATTTATAAAATGGAGACAGTAATAATATCTTCCTTATGAGGTTGTTGTAGGAAGTTAATGAGATTAGCAAGCGCCAAATAATGTGCTCACTAAGTATTGAATATTTAAAGAAAGCATGAATCAAGGAGATCTCGACAAAAATGTGTATGGGATGGATGGATGAGGGAATTCATGGGCCTCCCTCCTGGACACTTTCTGCTTGATCCTGTGCCTCACGTTCTGTTCTGACTCCCTTCTCTCTCCCTCCACTCAGGGTTCTGTGATTGAATCCCGGGCAGGCAGCGTCTCAAAACACCCTCCCCCAGAGGTGGCTGCCCCCTACTCAGGGGAGGAAGAAGAGCTATTTTATGCAAACCTCAGCTTTCTTGGGATGAAGCCTCAGGACCCGCAGGAACAGGAGGCCACTGGTGGTGAGTACTCCGAGATCAAGATCCACAAGTGAGCAGTTGCAGAGCCCCTGCCCTGGCTTCAGAGACCACGGTCCTTGAGGCAAAGAAAAAAATCACAGACTGATGCCTGCAGATTTAAATGCCCGCTAAATGGTGTAAATAGCAGAGCCTTTGGAACTAAAGAGTTTTGAATTAGAATCCACACTCTCCACCTTTACTAAGTAAGTGACAGACCAACCCTCTCTCTGTGTCTCGGTTTCTTGTTCTGTGAAACACGCATGAGAAGCTCTACCTGGAAGTCTGTAGTGAGAATTCTGGGAGTAAAGTCCTATCAGAGCACCTGCCACAAAGTGGATGCAGAACACATGCTGGATCCCTGTGATTTGGACAGAGGGATCTGCTGGGGATCTCTCCTGACTCAGGAGAGGACTAGCATCAGACCTCAGACCTTGCATCCTGAGGTCCCTCCTGCTGAAATGTCCTCCCGCTGGACCTTCATCTGCTTCTGTCCTTGAGAGCCGAGCTCAAGAGGCAGACTCTGGGTTGAGATGGGAAAGTCAAACAGCAGCTCATCATCACAACCTGTGGAGACGAACCAAACCAGTGAGGAAGGTTCCCAAATGGTCACATGACCATCTGATGAATGAAACTGCATGATCCCAAAATCCTCTACAGCACCCACCCAAAGAAAGGAATGCATCACAGCAGCCACTGCATAGAGTAGCCTGATGGAAAGAAATCAAAGGATTGATGGGGCATTAAAAATTCCCTGTAAATGGACCCCAGCCCATTTATAACAGCACCAAAACCCATAAAGTACTAAGGAAAGCTTTTTTATTTAAATATGCAATGCTTCTGAAAAATACAGAATATTGCTGACAGAAGTTAAGGGAGATTCAAATGAATGAAGAAATATAACGTGTTCATGGATTGGAAGACAGAATATTGCTAACATGCCTGTTTTGTCCACACTGATTTAAAATAATACCAGTCAACAAACATATATATATGGATGTAAATAAGCTTATATCTGGATGTATAAGCATATATATGTGTGTGTGTGTGTACATACATAATTTGACAATTTGATTCTAAAATGTATGGAAATGTAAAGACCTAAAATAGTGAAATATTCCCAAAAATAAGAACACAGTTGGAGAAGTCAGACTTTACTATAAAGTGGAGTAATCAAGAGTGTGGTGTGGCAGAACAGAGTCCATAAATAGACCAGCACATTACACATGGTGCACTGAGCAGCACCCATTCTATTCAACTGGGAAAAGGACGACTTCTTGACAAATGTGGTCGAAAAAATGGATCAAGGCTTGGAAAAAACTGATCTTATAAATTATATAATTGGTTTATGTAATTGGAATCATGCGGTATATACTCATGTGGTTTGTTCACTCTGTGTTGCCTTTTTTTTCAGATTCCTCAATGCTGTTGTGCATTTCAGTATTTTGTTCCTTTATTGCTGAGTAGTATTCAATGTATCACAACTTTTTTACCCATTTTTCTGTTCATGCACATTTGGTTTCTTTCCAGTATTTCATGATTATGAATAAAGCTGCTGTGAACATATTTGTACAAAATTGTGTCCAGATGTATTTTCATTCCTCTCAATTGTTGGGAAGTAGGGCTTGGGGGGAGACAGTGAGGTCAGAGTTACATGTTGGGAGCATGAGGGTCTCTGGGACATCCTCATGGAGACCAAAATCCAGCAGGCAGCTAGAAAGATGGATGGTCTGGAGCTCAGGAGGAAGGCGGGGACAGGAGATGGACAGTGGGAACATCAGGGGACTCAACGGTCCCGATAATGAACACTGGCTGTATTTTTGTGTACTTTGTACACCAAGAAAAATGTCTGACAATAATAAGCTCCCAATAGATATTTTAGAAGTTAAAAAATGTGATGCTGTTGCTTGCAAACTCTCTATCTCCAGCCCAGGTCTTTGTTCCAACCCCAGCATTTTCATAACTGTCCTGATGTTTCCTACAATAGCACCTTCAATGTTCCCCACCCTACTAGATGGTGAGCCCATGGGGGCAAAGACTGGGTTTATTTTGACTCTCAGAGCAGTTCAGAAAATTTTGTGGTTAAGATGAGTCCCAGAGAAAGCTCTGAGTCAGGTCAATCGGTCCCCAGGAGGCAAAGACAATTAAATTCAGAATCTACCACTTTCATAGCCAGCAGGAAGCGAGGCTGCTCTTGTCCTGGAGGGAGACATGACGTCATCCCTGAAGGTTGCTCTGCAAACACAGCCCTGAGAACTCGGCCAGGGGAGGAGCAGTCACAGCATCATGTTTTGTTCAGCAAGACTCAGCAAGACCTGGAGGAGTAGGAGGGACTCAGGAGGACTATCTTTCCCAGCAGGTGGTTTTGCTCTTCTTTAATGATGTGGAAGACCTCAGAATCTTTTCATAAATTTCTCCTTTACTGGGATCAACTAAGGATTCTGTCGCTTATGATCAACATATTGCTTTATAAGCCTGGAGCATTTGGCTGGTTCCTCCTCAGAAAACTAGGAGGATGTGGTGAATAGAGAAACCCCATATTGACATTTCACAACTCTATATTCTCATTTCATGCTTCGTTTGAGGAAGTTGAGAAGGAGATGACTGGAGAGAAGTGACGCTGTGGGAAAATAAATCTTCATTTTTTGGTCATATATCCTTGCACTTTCTTCCTACTAACAGCCAGACTTTGGTTACTTCTCCCAACTCCTCCAGGGGCCTCAAAGGACCTGGATCCTACAGTGTGGGATTCTTGTGTGAGCTTCATCTGTTAAGGACGTTCAGGCGGGAAACTGGGTGAGCAATACTATTCTAGAGAAGATGAGGGGGCAGACAACTGAAAAGTTCTAATCAGGAGTGTGAGCTCTACTGATCTTTGTTCTGGAAAGTTTATCCAGTTACCAAATGAGAAAGAACTGGAAACCCTGATCATCTCCAAAGGCAACGATGTTACAGCACTTTCACTCAAGATAATATGGAAACAAAATAAGTGACCAATCTCATTTGAGAGATTAACTAAATATAGCACATATCCTCTTAAAAAAACATGAGAATGAAATTTAGGAGGCTAGAAATTACCCAGAAAAATAAATAAAATGGAATGACATAAAATCACACCTCCTGTAAGATCAAGATGAGAGAAAAAACAAGTGTCCTGAATAAAGAGAAGGCAGCATACCAAGATGGTAATCAAATGTTGTTGGCTCTGGGGAGGGGGACCCGGTGGTGATGATGCTATAGATTGTACCGCAGGCACCATGTAACCTCACGTGTGGGATGGTGCTTGGCACAGAGTAGATGTTCAACCAACATTCAAGAATGAGTGAAGGTCAACTGGCTTCTCCAAGATCCAGATCTAAACATTCTAGTTGGTAGGTATAAATTACACCTATCAAGGTCTTCTGAGAAAACATGTTTTCAACATTTTCCTGAAACATAATAGTACATTTGTTGTTAGTATCATCAAGTTGATTGTGACTTCTAGGGACCCTGTGTACAGCAGAACAGAATACCTTCCAGCTGCTTTTGCATCATCCTCTTATTCTCTGCCACTATATAAGACAATGCTTTGCTGCTTTTCATAAGGTTTTCATGGCCAATTTTTTCCTAAGTGGATCGTCATTTCCTTCTTCCTTGTTGGTGTTAGTCTGGAAGTTCCACTGAAAACTATCCACCATGGGTGACCCTGCTGGTATTTGAAATAACAGTGGCATAGCTTTCAGCTTCACAGCAACATGCAGCTGCCACAATATGAGAACTCACAGACAGATGGTGTGTTTCCCTGACTGGGACACAAACCTGAGGTGTGGCAGTAAGAGCACTGAATCTTAACCTCTAGAACACCAGGGCTGGCATTCAGTAAACAAGAGTTATGAATACTTCTCACTAGTATAATAACTACTTTTTGAAATTGCTGGCCCCTCCCCCATGAGTTCCTGTCACTCATTTCTCAACCTCTCTACATACGGCCCAATACTCTCCTGGAATCGTTCTCTTTTCAGGTCCCCATTGGTCTCTTCAATCTTAGGCCTAATAGTCTTTCTTATAGCTTCACTGTCCTTAGTTCCCTTAGGCAATTAGTGACAGCCAGACATACAAAAGTGTCCCTAACGGTGGATTCGGAACCAAAGAGAAGTATAAGAGAACCTCAGCCCACTGAAGAGAGGTTCTTCTTACCCTCAGATCCTTTTCTTGTAGGCAGGCCATATGTTCTCACCACCCCAGGTTATATGGCTGTCTTTCTGGCTTAAGTCTTAGATCCCATGCTTGAGGGGCAGACCCCTCTCAGACTGGGCAACTTGGGAGCTCAGAATCTGGCCATAGTTCAGCATCGTGGACAGCATCATCTCCTTTCCTGAAGCTCACCAGGTCTACAGTCTGTCTTGGGAAGACAGACATCCCCTTGTGTGCTGAGCCACCTTCATTGCATGACAGGCAAATTAGTTCAATATAAGGCTTGATGGAGGGATTTGTTCACTATAACACAGTAAATAAAGGATCTGGGCAAACAACTCATTTTTAGGTCATCACCCCACAATCATGGCCATTGGTATCAACTACCCTGAAGCGTGAGGTTCCTGGAGCTTGTGCAATCACAGAAACCATCCAGCTCAATGTCTCCTGTGAATGTGGGGCCAGGACTCCCAGCACCCTGAGTACCATAGGGAGTCCAATGAGAGTTCAGGGCTTGGGATAGTCAGTGCCTGGCTCCTGGGGGCCAGAAGGAGGAGAGGGTTAAATAAACAAATTAGAGATTTTGGTCTGGTGTAAAAAATGGCTGATACCTAGCACTCCTTCCACCTGCCCTACCTCCAGAAGAGAGAGTTGAGTCAGACTTCTATTTACCATAATGTCAGGGTGGGTCATATGGGTCAACCTGTCTGTTGAAAACATTAAAATTTGACAGTTAGACCTACAATCCAGACAAGGTGGCATTGACCCATTGTTCCCTGCTTCTCCCCTCTATGCACAAAACCATAAATCCTGTAAATGGTGCGAGACACAACCAAATGAGAATTCTGAAAGGTGATAAGAAGAAGGTGAGCTGGTTTAGGATGCCAGGACTGGAGGAACAATACGGAGGCAGGACATCTCGGTCCCCCAGCTCACAGAGTAAGGACACTCAGACTGAGCATTTCCCAAATCCTGGCCAAGAAACACAAGACAGCTAAGGAGTCTCATGCCTCTACTGATGGAAGGGGAGCCCTCTGACTATTTCAGGCGAGTCCTACACCACCAGCAGAGGGGATCCATTGGAGCCAGAAACAAGTGTCCAAGAAGCACTTACCTTCTCCATCAGGCCTGAGACAGACCTCTCCTTCCAGGATGCAGTGAGACAGGTGGAGAGAACGGGAGAAAGGGATCCAAGTGTAGTGTCTGATATTTCTGACCCTGATACTCCATTTTCTCCTTTGTCAAATGTGACATTCCTCCTCACATTCAGAGTTTGTTTTTGTTTTTTTAATTGTGAGGTTGGCATAAAGTAAGTTATTTCAAGGAGCGAGACAGAGGCCAGTAAACAGAAAAACTCAGCAATAACTTCCCACTGCCCCTGTGGCTCAGCCAGTGTGGCAGACAGACATCATCCACAGAAGGGACAGTGCCTGAGAGTGAACAGGAGAGGTGGGAAAGGGAGGAGAGAGAGGAGAGCTGCACCGCCCACATCTGTCTGCTCCTCCCTGGCTCCATCCATCCCCATCTCTTTGTCTTCCTGGCACCAAACTGGGACCTTAAGTTTCTGCTAAGGCCCTTCTGTAGAGGTGAGAGGTACAGGAGCTCCAATCAGGACCCTGTTTCAGCACCACGGACAGCATCAGCTCTGCGCCTCCTGGATCACCTCAGGCTCCCGAGCGCCCCCTGGTGGATCGAGCCTTCTGGGCGGCCAACCATTTACCAGCCACCAATACAGCGTGGGAGGAGCTTGGGGAAGGATTTGGTAACACCCTAGGTCAATGATGCCGGTCAGGGGTATGAAGGACCTTCCAGGGTGTGCTGCCATCCTCAGATTTGTGCTGTTCATCCCCTACAGGTGTTAACTAAGGACTGAGTGCTGTCTTGAGGTGAGGACGATTTACAGGGTTTTCCCCCGTAATTAGATGGAATAACAAAGCCGGTCTCATGGCATCATTGATAAGAAAGCATTAATCACTCACAGAGGGGGTCACTATGGTTTTATACAGCTGTTGGAAGACCTCAAGAGAGATAAAAATTCCTTTTAATTTTGTAGCTGTCCCCCTATCCAGCCTGAACAACTGCAGGAATGCTTTCTGTCTTTCTCCATCGGAGCTGATTTTCACTTTCAGTCTGGGACAGGTTTTTCCTCTTTCCTCGTTTTCTCACATTTCTGTCTGGAATCTTCTGGTCTCTTGCTAGGTGATTTCAACCACTGCAGGGCTCCCACCCCAGCTCTGCCCAGATGCTTCCTGCAATTACTGGTTCAGGCTGTCCTGAGCCCCAGAGTCATAAAGTGGCAGGAAGTCTGGGTCCTGATAGGGCTGGAAACAGGAAGTTCATGCTCTCCCGAAATTCCCCTGACGTGTGGCCCGCTATTGGTCCTGAGCCTGCTCAGGTGTTCCCACGGGGGGCTGGCTTTCTCCTCCCCTATGGCCTCTCCAGGATCTGCTACATCAGATAATCAGAGTCCTCCTCAGGTAACCCCTTATCTGAGTCCTCCAACACCAGAACATTGTTCACCAGCTCATCACCCCCAAAGCCTGCATTCTACAGGACTCTGACCTCACTCCTGTTTTTTCATGGCAGGGTTGGGGCCTCTTAAAGGGGGCGATGAGAAAAACTTCAGCCCCTTTGCGTCTCTGGAAAGGGAAAGATCCTGCATACGGGAAGTTGAAAGGAAGGGCCAGACACGGGGACACCGTGATCATCGTCTCCCAAACCTCTCTCCCCACCCCCAACCCACTCTGCGCATTAGGGAAGCACCTTGCTGAGCAGCCCTGACCCAACATAGAAAAAGAAACAAGTAAACTTGTTCACCTCTCACTTGTGGGCTCCCAAACTGTTCCCTGTGGTTGTGAGTGAGGAGATGGAGGGAGAGGAAAGATACGCACACGTAAGTTTCTTTACCAAAATTAAAGCAATGTTTTATGCAAGAGTCTGCTACTTGTGTATTGACCTGATGTAGATTTGGGAAGCCTATCATTCGGCACATATCCATCACCTACTATGTACCTTATCATTACTGTGTGCAAAGCAAATCTACAGTGCTTGTGAGAGATGCACATTCTTGCCTCCCAGGACTCACTTTCTATATTTGGAACTTAAGTACACAGTTAAGGAGACTCGTCTCCTCACCTGCTTTCTGCCCAACTCCAGTCTGTTCTCCAAGGAGAAGCCAGAGTGAATGCTAAAAACCCAATGGTTCCCTTTTCTCCTTCTAACTCTCCAGTGGCTCCCACTTGCTCAAATGGAAATAGCCAAAAGCCTTTAAGATGAGCCCAGGTGTTACATGGTTCATCTTGTTTGGCCCACGGAGACCTGTATCTAATACCTAGAAGACTCTACAAACCAAAAAGCCAACACATGCTCAGAAGCACACACAAATTTGTCTATTTATTCTATCGAAGGATATTTTTTTAAAAGGTAAAATATTGACTCATATAGATATAAATTTAACATGCGTTAAAGATTTTCTTATTATGGTATAAAGACACATAACATGAGATCTACACTCTTCACCAATTAAGTTTACAGTATTGTTTACCGTAGGCACTGTGTTGCACAGCAGATCTCTAGAACTTTTTCCTCTTCCACGACTGAAATTTATACCCATTGAATGGCAACTCCCTATTTTATTTAACTCATTAATGGGAGAACCAGGTAGAAATGGAAGAAGCACAGATTTATATGGAGTAAAGGGATGTAGAAATGAATTTGTGAGTTTATGTGAAACCCCACCTGGAAAGTAGGAGTTGTAATTCTCCAAGGACCACACCAGCTCCAAAGCATGTGGGTTTCAAGTTCCTCTTCTGCAGTCAGTCACCTTTCTGACCTCAGTCTGGGCTTCCTGCTGGGGCTTCCTCCTAGTCCTGTGACACCGAGGTCCTGTGGCTCGTCCTCAAAGATGCCGCTGCTGCTGTTGCTCCCTCTGCTGTGGGCAGGTGAGTGGGTTGAGGGGAGAGGGAGTAGGTGGGGCAGGGGACCGAGATGACCGTCATTTCCCCACAGGGTCCCAGGCTCAGCATGGGAGATTCTGGCTGCAAGTGCAGGGGTCTGCGACGGTGCAGGAGGGCCTGTGCGTCCGTGTGCCCTGCACTATCTTCTATCCTCAAGTCAATGACAGTAACACTGACCCAGTTTATGGCTACTGGTTCCGAGAAGGGGCAAGTCCACACCAGGAAGCTCCTGTGGCCACAAACAACCCAGATCGTGAAGTGCAGGAGGAGACTCAGGGCCGATTCCACCTTCTTGGAAACCCCCAGATCTATGACTGCTCCCTGGACATCAAAGACACCAGGAGGAGTGACTCTGGGACATACTTCTTTCGGGTGGAGAGAGGGTCTTTTCTGAGATATAATTACAGACAGAACCAGCTCTCTGTGCATGTGACAGGTAAGGAATGGGGACAAGGAGAGGATACATGGATGGGTTCTGTGGGCCTCCAGGGAAGCACTGGGAGGGGATTCCTTGCTCTTCATCCTGGGAGGGACCCAGAAGGACCTGGGAGGGCAGGATGCTGAGGCTGACCAGGGAGGAGATGGCTGGCCTGGGGTAGAGGTTGACCTTAGGCTCATACTTGGGGTCCCCGCCTCCAGGCCTGGTCTCTGTCTCTCTCCTCCTCAGCTCTGACAGAGACACCTGACATCTACATCCAGGAGACCCTAGAAGCTGGCCACCCCAAGAACATTACTTGTACTGTGCCATGGGCCTGTGAGAGGGGGACGCCCCCCACCTTCTCCTGGATGGGGGTCGCCCTCACCTCCATGGGCTCCAAGACTCCCCACTCCTCAGTGCTTACCCTCACCCCAGAGCCCCAGGACCACGGCACCAACCTCACCTGTCAAGTGACATTCCCTGGAGCTGGTGTGAGCACGGAGAGGACCGTCCAGCTCAACGTGTCCTGTGAGTGCCAGACCAGGATGGCCAGGTCCCTAAGGGCAATTACTATGGGGGAGGGGGAGGCAGAGCCTGTGATAGTGGGTGCTGGGTGCTGGGTTCTGCAAGCTGGCTCTGGGGAGGAAGGAAAGAGGACATCCAACTCCACCCACTTCCTATTTCTAAAGTTCTGGGGGAAAAGGCCCATCACCCACCTTCCTGCCTTTGAAAAGGGAACAACATGTCTGTCTGTCCTGATGTGCTCCTGAACTCACGACCTTCAGTGTGTTCCGGAAAGAAAGCACAAGTAGGGCGAACCTCTACTATCTGGGGGCTGTGGTGGAAGTAGGGTCTGTCTCCTCCCTTCAGAGCAGAGGTGGGGTTCAGAACTCAGATGGGAGAAAGGCTCAGGCCAGGAGTGGGCACAGCAGAGATGGGAAGCCCCCACTCAACCATTAGCTTACACACTGGCCTCCCACCTCCACTGACCCTGCTCTCAGGGGTTTGCACATCCAAGGTTGTGCTGTCCCCATGCAAGGGATGCATCCTCGTCCCAAAGCCAGCCCTCATTCTCCTTAGGATCTGGACCCCACCTACTCCTCCAGCCTCCCTGGATCATTTTAATGTTAGTGTTAAAATAGGAAGCATAAAAAGTGTCTTAGCTGCTCAGCATGCCATAACAAATTACCCCAGACTGCATGGCTTAAACAACAGGAATTTATTTCTCATACTTCTGGAGGCTGGAAGTCCAAGATCAAGGTGTCAGCCATCAGGTTCCTGGTGAGGACTCTCTTCCTGCTTTGTAGATGGCCGCCTTCTGGCTGTGTCCTCACAAGGCTGAGAGAGCCAGCTCTCTGGTGTCTCTTCTTATAAGGGCACTAATGTCATCATGAGAGCCCCACTCTCATGACCTCATCTGACCCCAATCACCTCCCAAAGATCCCTCCAGATACCTCCAAATACCATCACACTGGGGGTTGGGGCTTTGATATATGAATTAGGAGGAACACAATTCAGTCCCTAGGAAAATTTAGTAGGAATAAAAGAGTATTCAGAACGCTGTGTACCTCCCTCTTGGTTATCTTCCCAAATGCAACCTATGCATATACATTTAAACACACACACACATAGGTACACATCATACTATACACACTGTTCTGCATCTTTATTATCATTTTAATAAACTTTTCATGTGGAGCATTTTTAGATTTACCTGTTATGGAGAGTTTCCATAATCTCTCACCCAGCTTCCCTCATTGTTAAAATCTCACCTCATGTTTGCACATTTGTCACAACTAAGGAAGTGACATTGGTACATTTCTGTGAACTAAACTCGCCTTTTTCTCACACTCAGTCTATCTTGGAGATCCTTCTACATCAGTACACAGGAAACCTTCCTCATTCTTACTGATGACTCCATGGTTGTCCAGTTGAAAGTATATGGTACTATAAAGCACTCAATTGGTCCCCTGTTGGTGGAAAGGCTATGATGTTTCCAATCTTCTGCTCAGACAAAAAATACTGCCCTGAATAACTTGTACAAACATTCTCCATGCATGTGTGTCTGGCAGATAATTTTGTGGAGAAGAAAGTCCCGGATCAAAGGGTATGTGTGTAATTTCTACAGATGCTGTCAAATCCCACTACACGGAGGTTGATCCGTTCATACTCCCACCTGCAATGTGCCCCGTTCCCTGCTGAGCGTGTCCATCCTCACTCACATCCTAAGGGAATTCCCTGCTATTTTAAGTTGCAGTTGTATTTTGCGAATAGGTTGAGATCTTTCCTTGTGTTTAAGACCCACTGGTGTTTCTTTGTGATCTTTCTCTTAATTATTTGAAGAAGCTTTGTTCATCTTGAGGACATCAGCTGTGTGTTATTGAAAGGACTGATTTCTAGTCTGCTGATGGCCTTTTGACTTAGCATATAGTGATTTTTCCAGGAAAAAAACATGTATTTTTCTGCTGTGTTGCACGTAGTGGTGTAATGGTGTTGGCTCTGACTGTTTGGCAAGAACTAATTGTGTCCATCTTTTCCCAAGTCCGGGGTCAGTGACCTCAAATTGGGTGCATGAAATTGGGCAGGATGGGAATATTTAGATCGAAGGAAATAGGCAAATGCTACAAATCAGTACACCCCCCCTTCCCCCACCATGAAGGAGCTGGCTGTTAAACATTTCCTAGCAAAACACTGGTCGCATTTATCAACATTTTCTTTCGTGACTCTGACTTTCACCTTTGAACATAGTTTCTTAAATCTCACATAACTTCTTCTACTATCTTCATACACAAACTCCTCCAAACATGCCCATTCACTAGACTCTCCCAGAACCATTTGCTTTCCATGAGCAGGGTCATTACACATCTCAGCTGTAGCTGCACCTTCTTTTTTTTTTACTGAGAACGTAATGGCTTATAACATGGTGTAAAATTCAGGTGTACATTATTACTTGTCAGTTTCTGTATAGACAGCGTTGTGCTCACCAGCAATAGTCTAATTTGTATCCATCACCATGCTTATGTGCCCCTTTTCCCCTTTTGCCCTCTACCCGCTCCCTTCCCCTCTGGTTACCACTAATCTTTCTCCTTATCCGTGTATTTATCTTCTACTTGTGAGGGAAATCACACAGTGTTTGTCTTTCTCTGTCTGGCTCATTTCACTTAACATAGTACCCTCAAGGACCGTCCATGCAAATGGCATGGTTTTGTCTCTTTTATGGATGGGTAGTATTCCATTGTATATATATATATACCACATCTTCTTTATCCATTCATCCATCGATGGGCACTTGGGTTGCTTCCATGTCCTGGCTATTGTGAATAATGCTGCGATGAACACAGGGATGCATGGATCTCTTTGAATTGCTGATTTCATGTTCTCTGGATAAATACCCAGTAGTGGAATAGCTGGATCAAATGACGTTTCTATTTTTAATTTATTGAGAAATCTCTATACTGTTTTCCATTGTGGGTGCACCTGTTTTCATTCCCACCAGCAGTATATGAGGGTTCCCATTTCTCCACATCCTCTGCAACATTTGTTATTGCTTATCTTGTTAATTATACCCATTCTGATGGGTGTGAGGTGATATCTCATTGTAGTTTTGATTTGCATTTCTCTAATAATGAGTGATGTTGAGCATCTTTTCATCTGTCTGTTGACCATCTGTATATCTTCTTTGGAAAAACGTCTGTTCACTCCCTCTGCTCACTTTTTGATCAGGCTGTTCATTTTTTCTTGTTGAGTTGTATAAGTTCTTTATATATTTTGGAAATCAACTCTTTGTCAGATATATGATCTACAAATATTTTCTCCCAGTTGATGGGTTGTCTTTTCATTTTTTTGATCCCTTCATTTGGTATGCAGAAGCTAAAAGTGTGTGTATTCAGTATAAGAGGAAACTTTTTGATTTTTGACAGCAGCAGGTAAATATTGGTGTCTATATATAATTTTTAAAAATATGTATAAATTATTTTATTATTGAGGAAAATTCACTAAAACTAAAGTCACTGTCTGAGCCATTTTTAAGTGTACAGTAGGTGGCTTTTAGTACATTCACAATGTTGTACAACCATCACCAATATCTAATTCCATCCATCCAACATTTTCATCACCCCGAAGAGGAACCCTGTGCCCGTGAAGCAGTCACTCTCCATACTCCCCTCCCCCAGTCCCTGCAACCACTAATCTGCTTTGTGTCTCTGTGGATTTGCCTATTCTGGACATTTCATATAAGTGGCATCATACAAAATGTGGCCTTTTTTCTCTGGCTTATCTTGCTTCACAAAACATTTTGAATGTTGATCCATATAGCATGTATCAGTAATTCTTTCTTTTCTGTCTGAATAAGATTCCATTGTATGGATGTACCGCATATTGTTCATCCATTGACCAGTTGATGGACATTTGGGTTGTTTCCACATTTTGGCTGTTGGGAATAATGCTGCTATAAACATTGGTATACATGCTTTTGTTCAAACACATGTTCTCAGATTTGTTGAGAACTCCACTCCCGAGTACCTCCTTAGGAGTGTAACTGCTAGGTCACATGGTAATTCAATGTTCCACTTTTTGAGGAAATGCCAGACTGTTTTCCACAATGGCAGCTCCATTTTACGTTTACTCTGGAAATGTATGAAGGTTCTAATTTCTCCACACCCTTACCAACATTGTTATTGTCCTTTTTTGAAAAAAATTATAGCCTGCTAGTGCTGTGAAGGAGTATTTCATCAGTTTTCATTTGCGTTTATGTAATGACTAATGATATTGCTAATTCTTTCGTGGACATATTGGCCATTTGTATATCTTCTTGGGAGATTTTTTTCAGATTCTTTGCAGACTTTTTTTTTGGCTGGGAAAGATTCACCATCAGCTAACATTTGTTGCCAGTCTCTCTCTCTCTTTTTTTCCATTCCTGAAAGCCCCGATACAAAGTTGTATGTTCTAGTTGCAAGTCCTTCTGGTTCTCCTATGTCAGCTGCCACCATAGCATGGCCACTGACAGATGAGTAGTGTGGTTTGACCCTCAGGCACTGAACCCGGGCTGCTGAAGCAGAGCGTGCTGAAATTTAACCACTAGGCCATCAGGGCTGGCTCTCTGCCCATCTTTTAAGTGAGTAGTTTGGTGTTCTGCTGTTGAGTTGTAAGAGTGCTGGATCCTACACTTTTATCAGATCTGTGAATTGCAAATATTTTCTCCCATTAAGTAGGTTGGCTTTTTACTTTCTCAGTAGTGTCAATCGAAGAACAAAATTTTGTCATTTTGATGAAGTCCAACTTATTCAATTTTCCTCCATCCAAATGCTGGACAGTCAGGTTGTGGGGTGGGGTGGGGTGAAGCCTGAGTGCAGGTGGTCACATATCCGTGATGCAGGAGGGCCTGGAGGACCAATGTCCAGATCCCACTTGGAGTGGAAGGACACAGGATTGCCATGCAGCAGGTGGATCTGTTCTTGTCCCAAGTTCCTGCAGGGAGATCAAGGCCCATGACAGAAGTTGTTCTGGTGGCCATCGGGGAAGCAGCTGTGAAGATCCTGCTCCTCCTCCTCTGCCTCATCTTCCTCATGTGAGCATTGTCCCAGGATGAACAGGAGGTGTGGGGAGGGGATGGGGCACCTGGCTGAGTCACAGACTAGTGCTGGGAAGTCCCAAATGGATCAGGAGGTGGGGCAGGCACAAAGCTTACAGGGACAGGGGGTGTTGATGGGGAATCCACCAGGGCAGTTATGATGCCCCGCCCACGGAGTGTCCAGGATGGGAGGTACCTGTGTTCTCCACACAGTCTGTGGAGCCAGACCTGCCCTCTCCCACATCAGTCTCACCTCCAGCCCCTGTACAAGGAAGACCGGGTGAGTCTGTTGCCAGGTGAACTTCAGTCTGACTAAACTGAAAGACTCTGGTCTCTTTTCTTAGAATGAGGTCCTACAGGAGGAAAGTGATGAGGCCTGCAGGGGGCATGTAGGATGCAAACACCACCCCGGGTTAATCCCTCAGGTGAGTGACCCAGATGTCTCACCACCCAACATCCCACTGCATACCTCCCCCAGCATGGCCCCCAGAATTCCTCTGCTCAGCATGGCCAAAGTTGAGCTGCCATCTTCCTCTGCAAACCCACTTCTTTGCTGGGTTCCCTCTCACACTGATGATGCCAAGACCCCCATCTCTAAGGCCAGAAATAGGTTTTGACTACACACGTTGACTTCCCTCCTCTCTCCAGAATCCAATAAAACTGTTTTGTCATCCTTCTCCCTAATCACAGCTCATGTTGCTGCCTGTCGTCTCCTCATCCTGACGCTGGTTGTTCCTGGGGGCTCATCTCTTCCCTGGGTCTCTGAACTCACCTCACCTCCTGCTTCCATCTCTCTCCTCAACTCGGGCCTCCAGATTGTTTCCAGAGACCATCATCCATGTCCTGCACAGTATGAACAGCTACGTGTCCTCTCCATGGCCAGAGACTGAGCTGAAAACACCACAGGCTGAATTTGAAGGCCTGGCCTGATCCGTCTCTGCTGGACTCTCCCCCAGATTCCTCCCTCTCTCTGCATCTGTCAATGTCTCCTCTCCCAGCTGGGCCAAGGCCTCTGTGACTCTGAGACTTTGTATGTGTAGTTCCTTCTCCTGAAATGCCCTTCCTTCCTCATTCCTACCTCTCCAAGTCATGCTCATCCCTCAGGCTCATTCTTAAATGCCACCCAGTGTGTGTGCGTGCATGTGTTTGTCATTGTATAGTTCTAAGCAGAGTAACATTCAGTCATTTATGCATAGACCCATTTAACAATTGTCATTGCATACATATGACGTACCAGCATTGTGCATCAGTGACACAACTTCAAAACTCACTGTCATGCAAAGGATTTGAAGATACACTTCTGCGAAGAAGACACACAAATGACCAAGGAGCACATGAAAAGATGATCAGCATCATCAGTCGTTAGAGAAATGCAAGTCAAAACTACAATGAAATACGACTTTACACCCATTAGGACAGCTTTATATATTTTTTTAAAAAAACACATAGTAACAAGTATTGGCAAAGGTGTGAATGAATTAGAACCCATGGGCATTGCCTGTGAGAATGAGAAGTGGTGCAGCCCAGTGGAAAACCCTTTGGAATCTCTTTCAAAAATTAAACATAGAATCACCCTATGACCCAGCGCTGCCACTTCTAGATATGTACTCAAAGGACTTGAACGTATGCATTTAATGGATGCTTGTACACCAGTGTTCATAGCAGCATTATTCACAGTAGCTGTGGAACCAATGCTGGTGCCCATCAACAGAATAATGGATGAACCAAATATGGCACATGCATACAATGGAATATCATTCAGCCTTGAAGAGGAATAAGTGAAATTCTGGCACATGCTACCTCATGGATGAACCTTGAAAACAATATGGTAAATGGAAGGAGACAGACACAAAAGGGCAAATATTGCGTGATTCTGCTTCTATGAGCTGCCTATGAAGACAAATTCATAGAAACAGAAAGAATAATGGTGGCTGCTCGCAACCAAGGGGCGGGGGATGGGGAGTCATTGTGCAACTGTGCAGAGTTACTGTTTGGGATGACGGAAATGTTCAGGAAATACACAGAGGTGATGGTTGCACAACATTGTGAGTGCATCTGGTGTCACTGAATTGTGCCCTGTAAAACTTTTTAAATGGCCATTTTTCTTTTACAGATATTTTACCACAGTAAACAAAGGGAACAGGAAGTGTTTCTGTCATCCGGATTCTGTCAGTCATTATTGAGACAAGAATAAAAAATAAATTAAATTACAGCATGTGGGATATCAATACATGTTTGGGGGAGATCCCTCAGGGAAAGCAGCCTGTGGCATAGTGGGGTGGGTTTTCTGAATTGGAGAGTGTGATGTGATGGAGGTGATGTTTGAACAAAGACTTGGAGGTAAGGAGGAAGGAAGTCTTGTGTTTCCCTACGAGAAAAGTATTCCAGGAAGATGGAAAAGGGGGAGAAGTGAGAGCCATGGTCCAGAGGCAGAAGCAGGCGTGGTGTGTGGAGGAAACAAGAGGCTGACGTGTGACAGCACAGGGAGGACAGTGCAGGCCCCGTGGGAGACCACCGCAGGCCAACGCACGATCCTGGAAGCCTTTGAGGGGAGCAGTCACATGACTAGACCCTCAAGTTAGTAGGATCCCAATGGCTTCTATGTTCAGAATCGGAGAGGGTGGGTCCAGGGCAGCCAAAGATAGATGTGGCACGTCTCTATGGGCACTCCAGGCAGGACTTGATGGTGCCCTGGACCAGGGACATTGTGTAGGTAGAGAGCATATATTTGGGAAACATTTTGAGGGTTAAGCTGACTGAAATTTCTGCTGGATGTGGTAAGTGGGGGAAAGAGAGGAACAAGGATGGTGCTGAAATCTTTCCTTGGAGCACCTGGAAGGATGCAGTTGTGTGGCATGGAGGAAATCTGAGAGCAGGGTTTGCAAGAGTGATGTTCATTCTGAGAGGCCACCTGATAGATAACTGGAAAGCTGGATATACACATATGGAGGTCAGGAGAGGGGTCCCGACTGGAGACGTTAAAATGTATAGCCAGTGTAAGGTGATGACAACAGATAAGGAAAAAAAAAGAATAAAACAAGTCGGGAGATGATAAGAGAATGGCAGTTTCTCAAAAAATTAAAATGGAATTACCATATGATGAGTAATTTCATTTCTAGGTATTTATCCAAAAGAATTGAGAGCAGGAACTCAAAGAGACATTTGCACACCCATGCTCACAGCAGTGTTGTTCACAAAAGCCAAAACGTGGAAGCAACCCAAGCATCACTCAGTGGATGGATGGATAAACACTATGTAGTGTGTACGTACCATGGAATGTTATTCACCTTAAAAAGCAAGGAATTCTGACACAGGCTACCACATGGATGAAGCTTGAGGACGTTTGTGGTGAGTGAAATAAACCAGTCAATAAAAGGCAAATACTATATGATTCCACTTATATGAAGTATCTAAAATAATCAAATTCCTAGAGAGAAAATGGGACAGTGGTTGCTGGGGGGTGGGAGGTAGAGAGAATTGGAAGTTCTTGTTTAATGGAATAGAGTTTCAAGGTGTTGTTTGGTATTTTTTTTTACTATGTTTCAAAAAAATACCATACTTGTATTTTAGAAAATACCGAGTATTCTTCCAGGACACACAGCAGACTCCCCAGTGGCTGCAGCTCTGAAGCCCAACAAGACTGAGTGTTTGGGGAGGAAGTGACTCCACTGGGTGGGGAGCATCTCGTGGGCATGGAGCACGTTGGTCGTCTCCCTTCTTGTCTCCAATCTCCTCAACACAGAGACGCTCACTAAGTGTTTGGGGAATGAATGAAGGAAGGAAGGAATGATTTCCTGCTGCCTTCACCTCACCTAGAACCCCCTTCTTTTTCTCTGCACCAGATGCTCACACAGACCCTAAAGAGTTCTATCACTGGCAGGACCATCCACGCGAGGTCTAGATGAGGCTGTACCTTCTGGGGCCAGGCAGGTGTAGACAACAGGGTTCAGAAAAGCACCCCAGATGGGAGACCCTTAGAGACTCACCATCTCCCACTCCTCAGATGTCCTCAGAGGTCCTGCCCCAAGCTCCAGTGCTGGATGGAAACCCCAAGATGGGGACAGAAAATGGGGTCTGCTCCTGTCTGCTCCCCTCTGGGAGGGTCTCAGGGTCTCTGAGTCGTGGGGTGTGCAGAGAGGGGACGAGCTCTGGTCTACAGTTCCTCTTCTGGGATGGACCATGGTCACGTGCTCCTCCCCAGCTTCCTGCAACTCCCCTCCCACTCTCCTTCCCCTTCTCTCTTCAGACACAGGACAAACGCCCAGAACATTCCATCTCAGAGATGCTGCCACTGCTGCTGCCCCTGCTGTGGGCAGCTGAGTGGGCAGAAGGAGTGGGTTGGGCAGGGGCTGTTGCTGACCCTCCTTTTCTTGCAGAGTCCTTGGCTGAGAGTGAAATATTCGGGCTGCAAGTGCAGGAGTCAGTGACGGTGCAGGAGGGTCTGTGTGTCCGAGTGCCCTGCACTGTCTTCTACCCACAGGATGGCTGGAATGACTCTACCCCAGCTCATGGCTACTGGTTCCGGGAAGGGGCAAATCCATACCAGGATGCTCCTGTGGCCACAAACAACCCAGATTGTGAAGTGCGGGAGGAGACCCAGGGCCGATTCCACCTCCTCGGGGACCCTCGGACCTACAACTGCTCCCTGGACATCAGAGACGCCACCAGGAGGGACAATGGGAAATACTTTTTTCGGGTAGAGAGAGGAAGAATGAAATGGAATTATGAATCTAACCATCTCTCTGTGCATGTGATGGGTAAGGAGTGGGCTGCAGGACATGCAGGCTCACAGGGAAGGACATGTGGGTCCCAGGGCAGGGCTGGGATGGGCTCCACTCCTGGGAGAGGGTTGGAGGTACAGTGTGTCAGGGCTCATTGGGAGCAGCTGAAGAAAGGCCTGAGTCTTCTTTGAGGGCCACACCTAGGACCCTCACTCCTGAACCCCGTGTCTCCCCTTCTTCACACCAGCCCTGACCCGCACACCTGACATTCTCATCCCGGGGACCCTGGAATCTGGCAGCTACAGGGACCTGACCTGCTCTGTGCCCTGGGCCTGTGAGCGGGGCACACCCCCCATCTTCTCCTGGACATCAGCTGCCCTCACCTCCCCGGGCCCCAGGACCCACCTCTCCTCGGTGCTCACCCTCACCCCACGGCCCCAGGACCACGGTGCCAACCTCACCTGTCAGGTGAATTTCCCTGCAGCTGGTGTGACTGTGGAAAGGACCATCCAGCTCAACGTCACCTGTGAGTGCTGGGCCAGATGCCCAGGTTCCTGAGGGTGTGGTGGGCAGGACGGCCAGGCTGGTGACACTTGGGGCTTTTGTCCTGGTGTCCTGGCTGATTATGGGACCTAGAAGCACACAAGCTCTATCCCTCTTGGATTTCTGTGGTTTCACATTGTGTGGGAGATGCCTACACTTATCTCACCCCATCCCTCGTTCACTCTGAAAGGGGAATCCTCTGTTCTGGTCCTAGTTGCTCCAGAGAACCCAGCAATCAGTGTCTGTCTAGGGGATGGCACAGGTAGGAAGGAGCCCCTTCCTGGGCTACAAGGAGCAGGGCCTCTTCCAGCTCAGGGCAGGGCCAGGTCCCAGCCTCACCCTGCACTCAACTTGGTGCCCAGAGGCCTTCTTGTGGGTGATCCCAGTGATCCCTCCCATCCTCAGCCCCCATGGCCTCTGTGAGCAGCTGTCTCCATGTCCCTTCACTCCCCTCAGACTTCTCCACCCCCCTCGGCTCCACAAGGAGAACAGGACAGCACTCACATGGCAGAGCCCGCCTCTCAAGACTCCTCTTCTGCAGTCTCCCGATGACTCCTCCAGCCTTCTCTTTTTATTTTCCCCTAAGAGGTTGTAAGTTACGTGTTTTTGTACAGGTAATATATTCACCTGGGCAAAACTTCAAAAGGCACAGCAGAGTCTGTCCTCAGATGCCCAGCCCCCTCCCAGGAAGTGACCATGGTCCATGGGCTTCTCTGAGCCTTGGTTTGTTCACCTAAAGAATATTAGGGGTCCTTTGATGTCAGCAGTACAGACTGTCCTCGCTCCTCCCTGTAACTGTGGAGTGTTCCACGGCCTGGATGGATACTGACTCTGTGCACATCTTCTACTAATGGAAAAATCATGGCATTAAGTTCTTCTACCAACAGAAATGCTGCAATCAGTAATCTTGTATCTCCTTTCAGACTTGTGTTTGTATTTATGACTGCAGAATACGTTTTTAAAAGCAAAATGGCTGGATCATATGCTCTTTCTATATTGAGAAATATTGCCAAGTTTTTCTCCATCAAAAGTGGACAAGTTTACGTTCCCAACATCGGAGCTGAAAGTGTGTGTTTTCTGCGAACCAGCATGGGGTGAAACCTTTTGACTTTTGCCAGTAACAGGTGAAAGTCAGTTGCTCTATATAAATTTTTTTTTAAATTCACACATTATTTTATTATTGAGGAAAAACTCACTAAAAATATAATCACTATTAGAGCCATTTTCAAGTGTCTAATAGGTGCCTTTTAGTATATTCATAATGATGTCCAACCATCACCACCGTCTAGTTCCATCAACCCAACATTTTCATCACCACAAAGAGAAACCCTGTGCCTGTGAAGCAGTCACTTTCCATTCTCCCCTCCCCTGGCCCCTGCAACCTCTAATCTGCTTTCTGTCTCCATGGATTTGCCTATTCTACATATTTCATATAAATAGAATCGAACAAAACGTGGCCTTTTGTGTCTGCCTTCTTTCACTTCACAAAATGTTTTCAAGGTTCATCCATGAAGCATGTATCAGTAATTTTTTCTTTTCTGTCTGAATAATATTCCATTGTATGGATGTACCACATTTTGTTCATCCGTTGATCAATTAATGGACATTTGGGTTGTTTCCACATTTTGGCTATTGTGAATAATGCTGCTATAACGCTTTTGTACAAACATGTGTTCCGTTTTCTGGGGCATATGCCTACCTAGGAGTGGAATTGCTGGGTCAAACGGTAGTTTCTAAGTTTAACTTTAGAGGAAATGCCAGACTATTTTCCACAGTGGCAGCTCCATTTTACATTCCTACCAACAATGTACAAGGGATCCAATTTCTCCACATCCTTGCCAATATTATTTTCTTTGTTTTTTAAAAGACATTATAGCCTCCTGGGGGATGTGAAGAGCCAGCCCAGTTGGTCTAGCGGTTATGATTCAGTGCTCATGCCGCTGCGGTCCGGGTTCCTTTCCTGGTCAGGAAACCACACCACCCATCTGCCGGTTGTGACATTGTGGTGGATGCGTGTTGCTGTAATGCTTAAAGCTATGCCACTGATATTCCAAATACCAGCAGGGTCACCCGTGGTTGACAGGTTTCAGAGGAGCTTCCAATCTAAGACAGACCAGGAAGAAGGAAGTGGCCACCCACTTCTGAAAAATTTGGCCATGAAAACCTTTTGAAAGGCAGTGTAGCTTTGTATAATCCAGCGCTGCAAGGTGAGAAGATGGCGCAAAAAGACCAGTCAGAGTTCGCTATTCTGCACACAGGGTCGCTAGGTGTCAGAATCAGCTCCATAGCACTAACATTGAGTGGGTGTGAAGGGGTATTTCATCGTGGGCTGATCTGCATTTACATAATGACTAATGATGTCGTTAATTTTTTCATGGATTTATGGCCATTTGTATATGTTCTTTGGAGAATTATTTTTCAAGTCCTTTGCTCATTACTTGATTGGACTGTTTCCTTTTTTGTTTTTGCATTGTAAAATTTCTGTACATATTCTGGATACCTCACTCATATAAGATCAATGATTTGCAAATATTTTCTCTTACTCAACGTGTCCTCTTTACACTTTTGCGATAGCGTCAATTAACAGACAAAACTTTATCCTTTGAATGGAGTCCAACTTATGCAACTTTTCTCTGGTCAACTGCTGGACAGTCAGGACTTGGGGTCAGGTGAGGTCCAGGCTCAGGTGGTCCCACATCCCGTGATGGAGCAGGGGCTGGAGAACCAACATCCAGAGTCCTGCTGGGATTGGAAGGACAGGGATAGCCGTGGAGCAGGTGGGTCCATCCTCATCCCACTTTCCTGCAGGGAGATCAGGGCCCGGGCCAGAGGTGGTTCTGGTGGCCATCGGGGAAGCAGCTGTGAAGACCCTGCTCCTCCTCCTTTGCCTCATCTTCCTCGCGTGAGCATTGTCCCAGAGGGAAGGGGAGATGGGGGATGGCAGAGGACAAGCGGCTTAGTCCCAAAACCAGTGCTGGAGGGTCCTGAAGGGGTCAAGGGGCGGGGCAGGCAGGAGGCTGATGGGGGCGGGGTGAGGGAGGAGCTACACTGGCAGCCATCTTGCCCGCCCACAGAGTGTCCAGGATGGGAGGCACCTGTGTGCTCAAGAAGGTCTGTGGAGCCAGACCTGCCCTCTCCCACCTCAGTCACCCTCCAGCCCACGAACAGGGAAGAGAGGGGGAGCCCGCTGCTCGCTGAGCCACTATCCGACCAGACTGAAAGACCCTGGTCTCTTCTCTCAGAGTGAGGTCCTGCAGGGGGAAGGTGATGAGGCCCACAGGGGGCACAAAGGATGCAAACCCCATCCCAGGTTAATCCCTCAGGTGAGTGACCCGGGTGTCTCACCGCCCAACATCCCACCACATACCTCCCCCGGGACTGGTCCACTCAGGATGCTCAAAGAGGAGCTGCCACTTTCCTCCCAAAACCCACTTCTCTGCTGCAGTCCCCATCACAGTGATGACACTGTGGGCCCATCTCTAAGGCCAGAACAGGGTGGGGTTCCGCAGTTTACCTCCCTCTCAACCCCCTGATCCAATCATCCATGAGTCTTGACCATCCTTCCTCCAACACGACTATCTTGCTGCCCATCTCCTCCTCATCCTGACCTGCTGTTCCTGGGGACTCGTCTCTTCCCCAGGTCTCTGAACCCATGTAACCTCTCTCCTCCATCTCTCTCCTCAACACAGGCCTCTAGAGTGTGTTTCCAGACAGCATTCTCATCCACTCAATGTACAGTATGAACAGCTGCGTACTCTCTCCGTGGCCAGAGACCGAGCAGCAAACACCACAGGATGGATCTGAAGGCCTTGCGGGAACTGTGCCCTTCTGGACCGTCTCCCCCAGATTCCTCCCTCTCCCTGCATCTGACAATATCTCCTCCCCCAGTCAGGCCCAGGCCTCTGTGACCGTGAGACTTTGCATAGGCAGTTCTTTCTCCTGCAATGCCCTTCCCTCCCCATTCCTGCCTCTCCAAGTCCTGCTCAGGCTCAGTCATAAATGTCACTCAGTGTGTGTGTGCGTGCACACGTGTGTGTGTGTGAGTGTGTGTGTGTGTGTGTATTAATCATTGTATGGACCTCGACAGAGTGACATTAAGTCATTTATTACAGACTCCTGAGCAAGAATTATAGAAGACCTACTATGTGCCTACATTGTTGTTGGTGCCGGGGGTGCCACAGTGAACACAGTATCCAAAATCTCTTATCAAGAAGCTGAAATTTTGGAGACAAGAAGGATAGAAATCAAATAAATAAGTAAGAGATAACATTGGGGCATGTTGGATGGTAATGTCTGTTTGGGGAAAAATCATGCAGAGAAAGGATGTGACATCTTTGGGGCAATTTTCTACATCTGAGAGTGTGAGGTGTGATGTTGGTGCAAAGACTTAAGAAGGTAAGAAAGCAGGTTCTGTGTTTGCCTGAGAGAAAATTATGCAGGAAAATGCAGAGAGAGAACAGTGAGTGGAAGAGTCTGAGGCCGAGCACGCTTGGTGTGTTGGGGAAATGGAAAGAAGAAGTTTGACAGCAGAGGGAGGCACAGGGAGGGGAGAAGCTGGGAGGATGGTGCCGACCACGTGCTGGTGCAGACTGTGAGGCCCTGAAGGAAATGCAAGAATCTGGAAGCCGTGGAGGATGTGATTGAACTTTCATTTTCAGAGGGTCCCCATGGCTGCTCTGTCCAGAAAAGGCCAGAAGGGTCCACAGCAGCAACATGGAGATTGGGAAGGGACTGCTGAGTTCTCCAGGCAGGAGGTGACGGTGACTTGAACCAGGGAGTGGAACCAGGGAGAGTGAAAGTTTTTGTTTAGATATATTATGAAGATGGAAGTAGCAGGGCTTTCTGAAGGATGTGGGGAGTGAGGGAGACAGAGGAGCAAGGATGGTGCCAAAATGTTCTCCCTGAGCAACTGGAAGCATGGAGCTGTGTTCCATGGAGGACGTTGGAGAGTAGGGTTTGGAAGGGGGATGTTTTTTCTGAGAAGCCACTTGACATCCAACTGAGGACGTCAACGAGACAGTTGGATATGAATGTCTGGAGATCAGGAGTGGGGTTTGGGCTGGAGATGTGAGAGTGTAGAGCCATGTAAGTGATGACAACAGATGAAGCATAAAGGGGCTGACAACACAGAGAAGGGAAGGACACAAGAATCACATTTGTCCTTGGTGATCCCCACACAGCAGTTTGAATGGAGAGGCGGGAAAGGGGTGCAGACTTGGTTGAAGCATGTTCAGGAGATAATTGGAAGAGGGGACGTGGGAAGAGTGGGTACAGAAAACACTTTGAGGAGCAGAGCTGCAAAGAGGAGCAGAGGAATGGGTCTGCGAAGGAGGACTTTTCTCTGTTTTTCTCTGCATTCTCCCAGGAGACAACATCTCTCTGATTTCCCACCTGTATTATCTTCCTGGGGCCACTGACACAAATGACTACATACTCGGTATCTAAAACAAAAGAAACTTATTCTCTCACAGTGCTTGAGGCCAGAAATTCATGGAAGGAAGGAAAAATACTTTACCTCTGTCCTTGCAAGTTCTCGACTGGGACCCCTGTAACACAAGACAGATTGACAAGCAAAAATGCATACAAAAACATTTAATGTAAGTTTAGTGTGGTACAGGAGCCTTCATAAGGAAATAAAGACTTGACTTAGTCATTAAAACTGAGTATTTTCCTGCTAGATTTGATGCAAAGTGGAGAATCATAGAGAGATATGATAGGACAAAGAGTGTGGGCTCAGTGCAGTAAACTGGGGGAAACTGAGCAAGGCCTGTTCCTTCAGATTCCTCTCTGTGTCCCTTGGTCTTGGGAGATAAGATGCTCCTTTCCCCTGGGTACAGGGAGGACACCTCTCAGTGAGGGTTTATCACCTGCTTCAAGAGAAGGTCCTTGCTGCACATGCCATTTCTCAAATTCCTTCATCTTGAAATATTCAATGTGCAAAGGTACCACAACTTGGGGTAATGTGACCTTAACCCCATCATCCAAAATCAGTGATGATGGGCAGAACTCAAGTTCTTGGTTGGTTGCACCCCCTCAGAAGGCTCGAGGAGAGAATTCACTTCTGACTTCTTCAGGATGATTGTGCGGCCGGCACTCCTTGACTTGTGGCCACATCACTCTGTGTGTGAGGTCACAGTGCTCATCCTCCTCTGTGCGTAGAACATCACCCTCTACTTCTCTCTCAGAAGGACACTTGCGACCAGACTCAGGCACAAGCCCAGATAGTCAAGGATCATCTCCGCAGGTTGAGATCCTCACCTTAATCACATCTGCAAAGAACCTTCTTCTTTAGAAGGGAACATTTGCAGGGTTCAGGGATGAAGACCTGGGTATCTCTGGGTGTACACAGAGTACCTCAGACTGGGTGGCTCTAAACAACAGAAATCTATTTCCTCACAGTTCTGGAGGTTAAAAGTCCAAGATCGAGGTGTCAGTGGGGTTGGTTCT